ATTAAGATAACCAGGCAGAAAAAGTCTACATTTTATTACAAAAAGTAGCCTGCAAACAAGTGCAAATTGCTATGGTTCTCCATTTATTCACTTATTTATTTTTTGTAGCTCCAAATAAATTTAAACAAGAATCCAAATTCCTAATTATTATCACACAAGGGCAAATCAGATAATTGATTTCTCTAACAATTTTAGTCAAGGACATAGGTTTTTCTGCTGGGGAAGCAAAACCAGGGTGGGAACCCTTGAGAAATATAGGGAGCTGTGTATGGAGCTATGGTAATTTGTGGGAAGCAGGAAAAATTAGAGGGTTGATAGTGATTTATATATAATATAAATCCATAATATATTGCCTACAGATTTCTCAGAGCTTTGGAGATGAATCTTCTTGGCTGTGTCTCTTTTGATGTGGATAGGGAGTTTGTCAGGTTATGCGATGCCCATGTCCTGTTCAGATAGTCGGGTCCTGATCGCCCTTTTTGGACCCATGTGCTCAGTCCCAAGTGGAAACTGCAAAGGGTCCAGAGAAGCTGCCAAGTAACTGAGCTGTTCAGGCATCGCAGCAGACTATAGGGAGAAGAGAGCAAAAACTGCAAAATCTGCTTGAAAGTCCTGTGAGTGTCTGTGCTCTGTCTGCTGAGGAAGAGACTTACCTGGACAGCTGAAAATTGGCTTGCATTTGGACATTGTCTGGGAACCACATATGGACAGCAAGGCTGAAACGGCTTGGTCAGCTGCCAGTGTGAGAGCACTGTAGATGGGAACTGTGCTGGCAGTAGCTCTGTTGCAAGCCAGCTATTTTTTTTCACTGCAAACAGAAAATCTCTCTCAGGTATGCATTACACTTTCAGAAAAACTCCACGCTACCTGAAAAATAATCTCTTTCATCCTAAAGTATGGTGTTTGCCAGTTTCCAGCTAATCTGGACTCCACAAATACAAATATGAAACTGTTTACATGTCTAGACTAAAGCTACGTTTTTAATTGAGAGGTTTTACCAGCAGTCATGATAGATATACCAAATTTTGACCAAGCTTCTGGAACCAAAGTATACTGATGCCTGTCTTGGGTGGCAAATGAACATAGGACAAAAAGGCAGAAGAGTAAAAGAGTGTGCGAGGGGGGGAGGGAAAGGGGGGGGAGGTATATACAAGGGATGGCATAACAAATATGACCACACAAATAAGGCCAATTCTGCTATCAGTTAAGTCAGATATTGCAAATTTGTGGTATAGATCTTGATATTTTAGCTCTAATAATGTATATTGAGGCTCAGTTTGGTTTCCTGTAAAGCCAGCCTGGGAAACAACACACTCAAGTGCACAGGGACTTTGTTGCTGGGAAAAGTCTTTAAACGTTATGAAGCTTATATGTTTTGGTTGCTAATACATGCTTTGTTCAACTGGAAATGAAACGTTTGTAAGAGGGTATTTCACAGAAGATACTGAAGATTTACATTTAGATTCTAAATCAGTTGAGGTAGGGAGAACCTAACTTACAAAATACCCAGAGGTGAGGCAAGAAGGATCTGATTTTTCAAGTTCATGTACTTTCAAGATGAAGTCCAGGTTGTCAAGTCAAGCAGTTGGAAAATAAGAACGAACAGACGTCATTTTCCAGTTGGTGTTTTGGCCAACTGCAACTCCCCTTCCAGGCACCTCCTGCCCCCACTGCAGGCACCAGTCTGTGTGGCACTAGTTCCCCTGGAGACAATACTGGATGGGATTAACCTTTGGCATTCCTCCCCAATGCCACCCTGGTTTCCCCACGGGTCATGGTGATGAGCACCCACGATGTGCTAGCCAGAATCACTCTGTACTGGTCAGTTCCTGGGCTTTTCCTCTGCTCATCACAATGGGTTGGATGAGCTCAGCAGGAACCTGGACCACACTCCCCGTCAGCCCTCTGGCTTATAGAAACCAGCTCCATATCATGGGGGATAACAGTGGCATATAATTCTGTTCATAAACTGCTCAACCTTCATTTCTGAACTGTTTCAGTCCTTGGCCTGTGGTGTTTTACTGGGAGAGTGTTCAAGAACTTTTCTTCTTTGATGGCTCATTTCCATCCAGTTTATGTCGATTTGCTACATGTATGTGTGTATATATAGTCATTTAGCTTAAATGGTTCTCATATGTTCCCAATGTTTAGCTCATAGTGTATTTATGGAAAGCAGCTATATTGCTTCTCAGGCTTTATTTTACTAAGCGTAATGCATTGAGTGTCTTCCAGTCCCCCATAAAACAGACTTTTCTGTTCTTGTGCACTTTGAAATAATCTTGCTTTAGTAAGAAATTACTGTTAACTCACTTCAAGATAAACTCCAACTAATACTTTAACAATCACACTAATACTTCTTTGTTTCTGTCCAAAATATGTTGGTTGAAATACACTAGGCTCCACTCTGATTCTTCCACAGCTGCATTAGAGTGGTTTAGTTATCCTGTGATCGAGTAATACTCAAAGAATTTTCTCTCCTTCTCCCATTTAATTTGCCGAGTTCCAAGCTAAAGGCAGAAATTCTTGCTCTTGGTTCCAGAGTACTTGTTTTTGCCAAATTTTATCTTATTTCTGTTACAGTTTGCAAGTGATAAATTCTTCTTGATCCACTCTGTATTGATTATGCCTTCCAGTTTTAGGGCACCACAATATTTTGTTAATATCCTTTATGTGTTTGTGCCAAAATCACTAACAAAAATATTAGTTCCAAGAGCAGTTCTTGAAGAGCTCAATAAATCATCTTGTTCAAGTTGGATATCCTTAGCTTATTACAATACAAGTACCTGTGGATCTGCTACCGCCCCTTAGCAACTCTTAAATATTTCTGGAAAGAGAGACTTGTCTAGAGTTACGTGAGGTTTGTTGATGACTCCAGCGTAACTAAGATTTTACCCCTAAAAGCATTTCCTTAAAATGACAAATAAAAAAAATACTCTCAATGCAGTAACACAGTACTTTTTTTTTTTTTTTTTTTTTTTTTGAGACCATTGGGACGGTATAACTCGGTATAACTATGCTGAAGCCATGAAGAACATCATTCACCAACCAAATGTTATTTGTAGTTGAAATCTGCCATCCTTCTAAGTATGTTTAGATCCTCCAATACTTAATCCTTTCATCACGAATCTCAAAACTTACCCCAACTTTGCTTAGTGCGTGCAAGAGGTATGTCAAGAATCATGAAAAATTACAGTGTTTTGATAATCTCCGTTGGGTTTGAATTTCAGTTTTCAGGTCCATTGAAACTTATAACTCAACTTAAAATTCAAAGAATATGAATTCATGACCTGCTTTCAGCTGCTTGCCTGACAATGCAATGTGCTTTCTCCCTCTTCCTTTCATTGCAAACCCAAATGCACGGTAAAAGGAAGGGGTTTTGACATAAGTCTTTCTTCACACTTTAAATAAGTTAGTCATTCTGCCTCCTGCCAAAATGAGAGGATCACAGCAATGAACTTTGCAAAAAATGATGTGCATCATCTTAGGACAGAGGGAGTGGATGAAGCATACCAGTGCTTCATATGCTTTCTATCTTTATAGAAAATAATTGTATGGAATAATCAATAAATCATAAAAAAGGAACTTTAGTTTTTATCAGAAAATAAATAATGTACTTTAGAGTACTAAAGGCATATGCCAGTCTAATTAAATGAGTCTGAAAATGACCTACCTCAAACCTGAAATGTTATCTTCATCTTTAAAGAATGTAATAATATGTGAGTTAATTCTAAAGGGCAAGCTGTCTTTAAAAATCCTTTTAATTCCAATTCTTTACTTATATTTTGGTTGTGATTTTGTTGCCTGGCAAGTTAGTGTTAGACGAAAACTTGTTTTGTGTAAGTTCAAAGATGTACACGCAAGCTAGTGTTTTCTGATAATCTGCATTGCTTTGATGGTAACTGGAAGCCAGTACTATCACAGATTTAGGATCATGGAATAGTCATTGCTGGCACCAAAAGATGTGTTTGTAAACCACTAGATCTCCGTATTATAGTTTCTGTTATTTATTTTTCATATTCTAGATGACTGTTAGAAGAGCTGTAGTCAAAGGATGAAATACAGTATAGCAGTCTTATCTAAGATATGTAAACATACTTGATAGTATTTGGTATAATCTAATATTCAGGAAACAGTTTATTTGTATGAGCATTAGGTTCTTAGGGGGAAGTTTGCCCTGTGTAGAAGACCAGCATAAAAGTTAGGCAGCGCTTGAGTGCCATTTTGGCCTTTGAAATGGAAACTTAATTGGTGTCCAGTCCTTTGGGACCCAGGGAGAGGTCTGGGCACTGGGAGTGGAGCCGGAACGTGGATGTGTTTTAGGCAGAAGTCTGGGAACTGACCAAAAAACAGTCTGCCTTTGAAGACTGCTCTCTTCATAGAGCTAGATAATTTCTAATGTGAGAGGTGATTTAATAAAATCTGATCTCCAGTGAAATTGTTCATAATATATTTTGAGGTGTCTGCCTTTCATAGCTGTATCTTGAAAAAGTGTACGGTTAAGGAAGGTTAAGGAAAGGATTACACATCTCGGCCCCTCTAGCAGCAAAGTTCCAATCTCAGAGATGAGAAATTCCCTTCTGGAGCAACCTGAGAAGCCAGGTTTCAAGCCCATGGAAAAGTTTTCCTCGTGTTTAGTTTGAGTTAAATCAAACCAAGTCCAATTCTTTTTTTTAACAAGGCAGCTCTTCCAGGTGCTCACCGGAGTACTCCTTCTTGTTCGTGTTGTTGCTAGTGAGTAAGAGTTGCTTGTACTGTCTGCACCTCAATTGGGAATGCATCCCCCTAGCTCTGGGGAACAGCTCTTCTGGGATCCAGGAACCCCCACCTTGGTGTCAGTGAAAACTTGCTGAAACTGAGGCACTCCAACAAAGCATAGCTAAACAGTCTTTTACTGGATATTTTTGTCTGCTTCTTTTCCTGTGTTCACATTTGTGTCTGAATTCCCTATGAATGGCCTACCACAATGTTGTTTTAAGTGTTACTCTCTATTTGAATTGCAGTTACATCCAGGAGACTCAACTATATCCATAAGCTCAGACAGCACTAGTGGTGGTCTCTGTACCAGGAACTGGACCCCATAAGGTGAGACCTCTGTAATATCGATAAAGATATATATAATCCCGTATGGTTTTCTAATACCTTGCTGCTGATAACCTAAATTTTAATGCTAGGTCATGAGTTCAGAAGCATGAGATAAACTGTGTTCCTACAGTGATTTGTTCAAAAGATGCTAAGGAGCACCCACAAGGTCTCAAAATGTAAAACATACAAAATGAAGTGGCTTTCATGCAGGTATAGAGCAAATCAATGGCAGAGCCAGGAAAACGTCAGGTTAGGGAAAATGGAGGGATTCCTAACTCATGTTGTCTCTACCACTTGCCGTGATCAGGCAGGACAGGCAAAGTTGTTTTTCACCTGCAAACCCCTGCAAGGTCGAGTGAGGGAGACATTCACTCAGTAAATTATGATAGTGTAAGTATCAAGGAAGATAAACACCCAGTTGTCCTATGCAGTACATTGTGGTTGTCTGGGAAAACACATAGTCCTTCATCACCAAAACTGGTACATGTTGGTGACAGTGCAGAGCTCAAAATTGTGGGAATGGAAGATTTTCATCTTTAAATAAGGAAGAAAGATAGGAAGGAAAACTTATGCACATGACTGTTATTTGGGGAAATATTTCACTATAATCTAATCTAGGACTACAAAAGAAAAAAAAAAGTGTGTGATGGCTCAGGGTGATAACAGATTTTGGCCCCCAGGCCATCTTTCCCCCTGGGCTTTGCAGAGCTGCATGGCCTCCAGTCCCAGTGCTGCTTAAGTGAGCTTAGAAGAAGAGAAGAGATAATGCCATAATTTTCCAATTCTTCTTAATTTGCCTTCTGTTAACTTGTAGGGATAAGTGTGTTCATAAGCAAAGGCATATAGGGAGATGTACATTTAAGCTAAGAACATGCATAAAGGCCAGGAACTAGGCTGTGTGCTCTTAGCATCAAGCAAGATGCCTTGATTTCATCACATGGCATCTGTTTTATTTCTTCTCTGCTATTAGTTTGCTACAGCAGTGAATGAGAAGATGAAAACGATACGTGTCACTGCAACTTCAGATATGAGTAGTATATAGTGATTAGTATTATCATTTTGCAAAATCCTTTTCATGGGCCTTTTCACGATGTGGAAATTGGTCTTGGAGCAGATCTGCCTAAAGCTAGTGCACCGTTGGCAAAGTTTTCACAACCTGAAGGGCTGCCACTAAATCACTCATCTGCATTAAAAGCCATTGACATCTGTGAGATAATGTTTTCTTTCTGTCTGGTTTTTCATAAAATAAAAAGCTTAGCCATGGCACGTTAGAAATACAATGAATGCAATTTAGTTTAGACCCTGTGATTAAAGTTAATTTGATTCAGAATGCGATGTTTATACTGGTTAATTGCTCCAACATGTAAAGTGAATCAGTACCTTCTGACTGAGGCAAACAATAGCAAATCTCATTCTGTGTCTGAAAAAGAGCAGGAAAAAGGTTATAAACTTAATCACACCTCAGATGTGATTGCACAAGTATGTATTACTCATGCGTTACCATTTTTAATGTACTTTTGTAGAAAATCCCATAATTAAATAGAATTTTGCTCTTCTTTTGCAAAAGAAACTGTTACATACACACATACACACAAAAGACAAAAATAATTGCACCATAGTTGCTCTTCATTTCATAATATAAAGAAGTTTATGCATAACTTAGAGCACTTTGTTGGAGTTAAATCATCATGTTACTGACTTGCTAAAGGATGGGCCAGCAAAGCAAGAGGTCGTTTCCAGACTCCTGAATCTTTACCATTAGCAACAGAGGATAAACACAAACATGAAAATAAATATTGCTGTGAGTACATTCAACACTGCCTTTTTAACTTTTTACAGAGCTGCTTTCCATGTCAGACTTTCCAAAGGAAAGAGCTGTGCTAGATCAGCAAGTCTGCTCGGCAGAGGCTCTGCAACTATATATGGATGCAGAAAGAAACTTGAGCCACAGGAGGCTCGAATGCTGATATTTCGCAGCGATGAATTAGCAGGAGCTAATTGAGCTTATTCTATGAATTAGTGCAACCAGAGATTCAAGTCAGAATTGTTTGATTTGAGAGGAAACTGAAATTGAGCCGAGCGCCTGGGGTGCCCTGCCTCCTCTTCCCTCCCAGCCCTGCAGCTCCGCAGAGCACTAAAAGCAAACCTGCTTGCTGAGGGACTGCGACCGCTTTGCAGAGGGCTGAAAATACATTTAAAAAGTAACGGCTTAGAAAGAGATGGGTTGCTTTCTGCAAACACCATGGACTGTTTAGACACATAATTAATGTAGTCTTGCACTTATGGAAACTTGGCCTTTCTGCTTGGGATGTTTTTGGCTGAGGGTGTGTTCTTGCTTCTTTTTTTAAGGAAGGAATGGCTTGTTATTTATTACTGAGCGAAACGGCAAGCACTATTAATATGGTAGTGCTGACAGAGAAGGCATTTTCCCAGTTTGCCTTTCTTTTTTTCTGTTTCCCTTGAAATGCTTGTTCTCTTTCCATAAACAGATGCAAATAGACTGAACGTTTCCTGCAGAATAAGGCAGCAAGAACAAAGTAGCAATAGCAGGGCTATCTTGTTGATGAAAAGACATATTTTATTGTATGTCTTCAGACATCAGAGAAAAAAAAATTGCACCCAGACGAGAACTGTCTGTGTAAAGGTGTTTGCCTGCACTCAATTTTAAGCAGCGGTATGCTGTATAAAGATGACACGTATTCAGAGGTGAATGGATGAACTGGAAAGTTTTTTGACTCCTCTGGCCCAGCTATACTGTTTCAAGCTAGTTTTGGGCTCTGAGACTCGCAGCTACAAAGCCCTTTTGTGAATATGAGTCCCAGCAGTGCTACCCTGCCCGGAGAGCGAGTGCTCTGCAGGAGATGGCGTTGCTGTCTGGGGCCTGAACAGATCAGAGCCTGAACATACCCAAATTGCTATAAGTTGCCAAGCTGAAGAAAAAATAAGAGTTTGGGGATGTATCTTTGAAGACTCTTTTAGCCAAATGTCTGAAATTTGGGAGACTAGCCCTACCCAGAGCACGCCAAACAATGCATACCAAATTTCAGGGCAAACTGAGTTCAAGCCCCTTAAAAGCAAAAATGCTTTGCAATCCCTGCCTGGCAAAGCTGCCACAACTGGGTCAGACATGCTGGGAAAACTGAAGTCGAGCATTTCTCACTGCTACGAGAAGAATGATATTATCTCAACCTGGCATTTTTCATTGATCTTTGTGCTGGATGTCTACTGAAGCTCTGTCCTCCTGGCTGATACTTTTGACACAGGATTTTGTTGCGCCTTTTTTTTTGTTTTTTAGTCATATGAAGAAAATGTCAAATAATTTAGACTGTATTCCTTCAGTTTATCCTTGCCTCCTATCCCAGGAGCACTGGAGCTGTGAATCTGTTAGAAACTACCTAGAGTTGGAGAAATATATGGAGGTATGATGGTAACTGCAAGGAAAAAAATGAGACTGGGCTGTTGCAGAAAAGTGCTGCTGTTAAAGCAAGCTTGTGAGTCTATAATGAATTATATTATGCAACCACAGCCTTCAGCTTTATTTCCTGGTCACATGAGCACGAAGCCACAGTATGGTAATTCAAAACGTTGGTCAGAGACAAGAAAGAATTGTTTAAGGAAATAGGATATTTTAGACTAAACCATTAAGCAAGATAAAGAAAGTAGTAGTTTCCTAAAAGGGGAGAAAAAAAGAAAAAAGAAAAAAAAAAATGTGAAAAACAAGAAGCAGAAAGTTCCCATTGGAAAAATCATCAGAAGACTTCATTTCTTTGGTTTGAGGAAAAGACGTAAAAGTTTCTGAAGTCTGTCTAAACAGGAGTTCCTTTAGTTCCTTTAGATCTGATGATTTAGTGTGTATGTTCTCCTGGGCAGAAGCTGTCATTTTTTGTTGTTTGTCCAGGACTTACTGCTGCAGAGCCTTGCTCACAAGCAGAATTTCTGTGCAAAGAAAATAAGAAATGGCAACGGGAGGGTAAGAATTTTACCCAACATCCCGATGAATGTCAGTCTGTTCTTCACGTTTCACATAATCAGCACTTACGTATACACAAGGCTTCAGCTGTTTTGGACTTGATGCTCTTTTTTGTGCCCAGTAACGGTAAGGCTGCAGCTGTGCTAGCACAGAATCGGAGGGGATTGCACACCCAGGCAGTAGGAGGTTGCAATATCAGAAGCTCTATGGAAAAGACAAGTATAAGTAAAGCAGAAGGGTTAGCTACTAATAGAAATAAATCCTAATGAGTTGCATTTACAGGTTTCCTAGACACTTTTATTTCCAAATCCAGCAAATTTCTCCCTGTAGATAAATCATCTTATTTTGGTGTACAGTATTATGCTAAAATGAAAACCTCTTAAACTGATGTATTCATAGTGGTTAATTAATCTCTTCTCATTTCCGCTATATACAAGTGGAAAGTACCAGGGAAACAATTGTCTTCAGCAGTGTATTGGAAAAAGCAAATGTGCCTGGTTTCAGAAGTGGTTCTCAGAGCCAGTCTGAAGCACGGTGAGATGGTTTTTCGATTGCGAACTGCTTGAGCTGTTGTTAACAATTGCCTTGTTCCTCTCAGGTATTTTGTTTTAAAGGGCTTAAAAGCTGAAAGCTCTGGGGTTTTAACTGAAAAGATTTGGGGGGGTTCAGCTTTTCAGTAGCATGGTGCTGGCCCGGTGAGTTATGTGGGAATTTAATTTTCCTCTGGGTTCTGTGGAAGCCTTCTGTAAATGGTTTAAACTTACCAGACTGATTTCTTCAGTCTGCCTGGTTCCTCAGTGTGTGCTCTCCATAAAGGCTGCCTGGGCTTTTATCACCTCATCATTGCTCCTAGTTCACTGATAACAGCTGGCGATAAAGGAAATCTCCATGTAGGCTAAAGTTCCCATGCTCCGTCGGTGCCTCTGTCATACAAGCTGCTCTCATTTTTCTCTCACAGTGGCCGTGATTAAAAAAATGAACAGATGGAAGATGAAGTGCTTAACCTTGCCCTTGCTATCATCCCCACGGGGTATTTCCAGGGAGGCTCTTTTAAGCGATTCCAGGCTAGGTTGTGCTTTATCCTTTTTACCCCGCGTTGGGACAACCTCGCTTTAAGTTTGCAAAGGCGTTTCTGGTTGTATTAACGTCAGCATCGCTGGGGTACTGGGCAGCCAGAGGGGCTTGCTGAAAACAGCCAGCTCAATAACTGTGTGCTAGCAGCACAGCCTCTGCACTACAGACCTCACTGCAATCTGCGGTGTCATGGGTGAAGCTAGGTAAACACTTGGATGTTTATCTTGACCTGAAATATGGCCACAAACAGCTGCTATCAGTACCCAAGATAATGCGAGGCTGGAACCTACGACTGTATATGGCAGCCCGGTGCTTTCTGACTGCTGGCGAAGACAGCAGGAATCCCAAAGATTTCCCCAGCACAGAGCCCAAATCTCACTTATCAGCTAACGGCATTCAGCTTCCAAGGTTATCATTCTGATGACTCCCCCAAGGACTCGTAGTTATACCTTCAGCAGGCAATTAGTTAGAAGGGCACGTCTCACTGAACTCTTGATGGCAGTATTTTTATTTTATTTTATTTTATTTCTTTTGCTTTAAACTGATGTGTCTTCCCTAACACCTCCACGTTCTCAGAAATTGCTGGATTCGTGCCACTACGTCCATCATTTCCAAATGCAATTATGTGTTTCATTTCAGGCAGCACTCAGGATCACAGAGAAATCTGCCATATTTACAGACTATAAAAGCAATTTCAAGACAGCTTCCCACTGCTGTCTAGGAAGAGCAAGTGTCCAAGAAAAATACAGCAAGAGTTGTATGGCTTGATCTTTGTTAGCTCATATCCTAGAAGAGTCATGCGGTTGATGTGGAGCATGCTGTTGCACCTAAACAACGATGAGGTCCATAAAACTGAGATCCTTTCTTTTTCCAGAGGCACATACTTAACTGTCATAGAACAATTCTTGTTCTTAGGGAGAGTTACAAAATAGTCATTTGGGGACAGTAAGCAAGTGGCTCTCATTCTGGGGCAACAGCTGCATGTCATGTGTTCACTGTTGTTCAGGGAGAAAGCGACCTAGCAATTCAGAGGGTAAAAAACTGTAAAAATAGTGAATCTCATCCCACTCTTGCCCGGAAGCCACTGCGTTTTCCCCTTGGGCAAATTCAAAGAGGAAGGGGGCCACTGCTTCTCAGTGGTCTCTAGCAGTAAACCTTATCTTGCGTGAGTGCTGGCATTAGCTTCATGCAAGGAAGGGTTTCAGCACTGAACCCACCTGCCATGGACCACATATGACAGAATGGACTTCCTGGGCTGTGCTTTGATGTCTAATGCTGAGTACTCTGAGTACTGCAACTGCAGACTTTCAGCGTTCCTGTTTTCCTTCCCATTGCACAGACTTGTGGAAATAGCATTTATTGGGGGGGTAAAAAAAATAAATAAATAAACAGTTGGCATCTTTTTCACAGGTGATACGTTAGGGAGCAGATCTTTTCAAGAGGATGATGGTCAATTGCTCTCCAGATGGTGACGGGAGACTCCACTTCAAAGGTCCTAAAAACAGCATCTTTTGGCCCAATCAGGTGAGCCTCTCCAAAATGCTGTTCTGCTGCACTCTTACATCCAGCCAGGCTGTTTTCCTACCAGACCACCCTTCTAAATGAATGTGCTGTTTCTATTGATTAGCTTAAACTGGAAAAAAATAGTATATCCTGACTACATTAGCTGTGTACAGAAGACCACCCTACATTAACATTCCTGTATCAGTCAGAGCAGTTCCTACTGAGTATTTGTAATTTTCTCTGCACGGCTTGGTTAATTCAACAGGAAGAACTGCTCAGGCAGCTGCTGGGTCTGCCAACTTCTCCACCCAAGCTGTTAACTTAGGGTGCTGAAATGTGCAACTAGTGCCTGTCAGCTGGCCTTTGCACAGCAGGTGCCACCTGGGGAACTTGTGGGCCTGGCTGGACATCCCCCAGAGAGGTCTTATTGCAACAAGCAGTGGAGCACTGTGCTGAGCTGTGGGGTGAGACAGCTTCCTTCTGTAGGGACAGCTTATCCATGTAGTGTATTTGTGTGTGAAGTGTATAGCAACCTGCGGATCACAGCGTAATTATTTCTCACTGTTATTACCAGACAAGATTTGGAGTGATATTAGAGAGAGACAGTGGGTCTCCACCCTGTTCTGATAGGAACAACGCACTGGAGTGCTTTTATCTGGCTACAGCCGTTCTCCATGCTTCCTGTCCTGTTGAAACACAGAACGTAGCTGCTAAGCAGTTGGCTGCCCTATAAAAGCATTTGAGGCTTAGGTCAGCATGGTCCAACCAGCTGGCTGCACCACAGGCAGATATGGCCCCAGCCCCTCTTCTGGAGGAGACAAGGAACAGCTGCCCGAGCTGCAAATGCAAGCAGGGACTCTGAAGGCTTCCTCCTGTGTTGGCTGGCTGCCGTGCAGGAGGGCGAAGGCTTCGGACTGACGTGGGAGCACCTGGCAGCACTGCACTGCCAGCCCTGTGGCACGTAGGTGGCAGCAGCCTGGCTGGGGCAGAGGTGTGAGAGCCTGCTGGTGGGGAGCAAAGGCTGTGGCTAAAACACAAAACTTGGGTGAAAGAGAGGCCGGGGGCAAGCACCTACTGAGCCTTGAGGCCCTTCAGTTGTGAGCCTCTGAACTGTGCGAGCCTGCCACTATTTATGTTTAGGTTTGGTTGTTTGCCACCGAAGAGATTGTGCTGTAGACTGATTGGAGCTGGGTGCATGGCTGAGAATTAGTGCAAGGCACAGACGGGCAGCAAATGCTGTCTGAACATTTGCTTGTCCTCAGACATTTTCACAAAATAAAAGGGACTGCATTCAAACAGCAGGGGAAAGTTGACTAAACTGAGGAAATGTGTATGGTTTAAATATTTCTTAGTGATGTCATGGCAGGAAGTGAGTCCTTTTCTTTCTTTTTGCTGGTTTAAACTTAATGGAAAGGCTAAGAAAATATTTCAGCTGTACGGCTACTGCCATGCCTCTAAGTGGTGTGCTGCACGGAGCAGCTGGGTCTGTGCCTGCGCTGTAATGCACACCATACATCCCCACACACCCCCGGTGCACAAGTCACAGGTCCCCTGCGGTTACAAGGAATTACGCTGCCATTCTCCCATTGCCAAATACAGTCCACAAAAGTCAAAGTACACATAGAAAAAACCCACTAACTAATCCTTGCAAAATCCAGTAAGGTAAAACATATGTACTGTTATCTGTCTTCCACAAGGGGATGAGCCAAAAAGTGAGGATGTGTCAGTGACTGCTTAGAAAATAGTCTTAACACCTCTGAATCTATGTATTTCTACTTCCAGTGCTTCCCTGAATATCACAGTAGCCTCTCAAGGAAGTACCTAGCCTCATACACACTGAGAGCAGCTGAAATTTCTGTGATAAATATCCTAAACCGTGTACCAGACCCGGTTAGGTATTGATGTAAAATGAAAGATGATTCCAGACTATAATACACTGCGAGAATTGCACTCAGCCTGATCAAAGAAACTCTTTTAAAACTGGGTTTAAAGACAGAGTAAGTGCTCGAATGCCTGGGAATGAGCCAGGCTGCCCCAGCTGCCCCCCTGCCCATGTCCCCATGCTGAACAGAGGCCACGTGTGTTGCTCAGCCAAGTGCATGCACTGCCCAGGACCTAGCACAGCAGCGGGGATGAGAAATGGGGAGGGAGAGACCGTTCCTCCTCGTACCTGCTTTTGACGTGTTTGTACGAGCCTTTGAGCTTTTTATAGTTGGCCCAAGTGCAGCATGAACAAATGAAGCAAGCAGCTGTACAAAGCCTTGGTATTTCTGACCTTTGCCAGCATGGGAGCATCCAAGCTTGCATCCAAGTGTGCCTTGGGATCCAGCAAAGCTTTCGGGAAAGATTTGACACTTTCGTTTTCATGTCTGAGTAGCGCAAGTAGCAGCAATCCCGGGTATTGTTTTTTTTAGAAGATTAGGTTACTGAAAGGCAATGTTTTAATAATGTTTAATAGCTGTCGGCCATAGAAGTTGTTCATGAATTTAAACTATTGATCTGTTACATGGATTTTTCCTGAAATAAAATAGCTAACACTCACCATTAAATGAATGAAAAAAAAAAATATACTTGCCTGACATTCAGTTTCTTTGATTTTTTTTTTCTGATTTGTAAGCATTTCTGTCCATACTTGTCTTTTTCATCTTCAGGGTTGTGGTAAGAAAACGCTATTTCCGCATTTTTTTCTGGCTTATACATGTACTTGTTTGTATTTTGTTCTGGTATGGTCAGCTTCTAGTATTACTTGTGGTTTAGATAGAAAAGATGTGGTGGCAAAACAAAATTTCTGTGATTGTTTTGTGGCTTACCCTTAAATTGACCAGTACAGTTTCAGAAATATAAAGCAATTAGTGGGAAAGGGAAAGATGGCTGAGATGCCTGGAAGGGACGTGGGCTCAACACATTTTCTGGAACTCCTCTCAGCAGATCACCCATGGTGTCTGAAACTTGCTGCCTCACCTGGGTGACCTGCTGGTGGAGATGATCGTAGAGAAAACATCTGCTGCCTTAGACCCTTGTCTGGTGAGGGCTCAGCATATGCTTTGCTTTCTGAATACAACTAGCACTGCCAAGTTTGGTAGGACACAGGTAAATACACACAGGAATGTGATCTTCAGCCTTCATTTGTCCCTGGGCACAGATGGAAAAGCAGGTCCATTTTTTCTCCTTATGAACCTATAGGAATTATCATGTCAGAATGGGCTCCCTCACCTCGGTGTATGTAGGAACTAACACTATTTTAGCCAGGCACAAAAAATACATAAACACATGGAAGGAAGTGATGACAGCATTTAGAAGGGCTGGGAACATGTCCTGACTTTGTGTCAGTTTGGGAGCCACTGAGATATACCTGAAAGGATCTTCTCCCACAGCAGTGTGCACAGATGAAATACTGGTGTGTCCAAAGTCACTTCATGTTATCTCTTTGGTTTCAACACAGCCAAGATAGAGCCTTACATATTTCTATTCTTTTTGATGGACACTTCCCATTCTTTTGCAGAAAATCATCCTTTTAAGAAATCCTGTCAATTCCTTAAAAAAATAATAATAAGTAATATTACCACTATTCTCACCATGCAGAAATATGATATGTTCCTCTCAAACCAGCATGCTGCCCAAAGCGTTTCTTCCTAAACAGGCACTGCAGACGCATTTGCTTGTCTGGGCAAGGCACAATGCACAACTCCATTCACATGTTGCCTGTCATACTTCTCTGCTGCCCTCTTTTTTAGAGGTCCAGCAGTCTAGTGCTGTTTTTCACGGTTGCAACTGATTTACAGGTGGTGACTACTGATAACCTCTTCGTTTGGGTTTTGTTACAGTGAAACGCGTGCTGGCTGCTCTCAAATGCTTTGGTGCTTACGACTGTGAGTGAAGAAAAGCCTGCTTGCAAATCCCCCTCAAACTCTGGTGTGCATCCACTCCAAAGAGTCACCTGCAAGATCCAGAGCCTTGGATTTGGCAGTGGAGCCTCCTGTCAACATCTGGTCCAAGTCAGGAGAGGAGGTAGGACTGGAAGTGTATTTGCTGTGCTTGTTCAGTCTGTCACATGTCCCACAGCTGCTGATGCTGAGGGTAGTGCCCAGCAGTGTGACCCTGGGGAATCCACTTGGATGATTCTAGAGGCACATCAGATAGATCGTTATTCTGAGTTCTTCAAGTCCCATTTTCTTGTGTCAGAACTGTTACGCATATTCAAAGTATTAGTGTATTCTGTTTATTAACTGTTACATATTAGCTTCAACATGTGGGATGTGGTTTTCTTCCTACAGTCATACTACACCTACAAGCCCTTCTGCTTCAGATAGACAAAGGGAATATGATGAAAGAGAATATTCTGTGCCATTCCAGAGAAGATTAGACACATTTTCATTTGCTAGTGCATTCCTCTTCCAACATCTTTACTGCTGTAACATCTGGACGAAAGAGCTATTTGGTAACCAGTAAAGTAACCTGGAAAAGTTGGGATGTCTGGAGGGGATTGCTGTACATTACTGTACATAACTGACTGTATGTGCAGTTACTTACAGTAACAGATTTCTATATTCGATGAAGAGATGAAAATGGAAATTTTAGCAGGAGCACACCAGAATAACAAGCAGGGCTTCAGAGCACACAGTTTAGTCTCCAAATTAGACCAGATTTACATTTTTTATCATTACAGTTGTATGCATAAGGCGATCAAGTATTTTGTTTGCATTAGCCAAGATAATTTTAATCACATAGCTGTTCTTCATCAAATCATTGAGATAATTCTTTGAACATTTGACAACCAGAAACTCTTGTAAATGACAGCACTTTCACACACCTCAGCAGAAAGGACTTGTCCGAAAATCTGCTCCAGAAGTATTCTCTGCTGTGATGCTGTTTCTTATGCAACAACTCTGTCCCAGGGCTAACCGTCACGTATCAACACTTACTGCCAAATAGCTGGTGGTCGAAGAGAACTGCTAGGGAGCATTATGTAAGCCACAATTTGATCGATAACAAATTCTTTGTTGTAAATCATCTGGAATTAACACAATGAACAATCTAGGAATTATTACTCATATCTGGAAATGCGTAGCATTTCTGGAAACTTATGTTTCCAGAAACAAATAATGATTCCTCTATTATTCACTGTGTTGATTCCCATATGGCTGTCAAACCAAAAAAAAAAAAAAAAAAAAAAAAAAAGCAGGAAAGAGAAAAGGCTACTGTCTGCAAGCAATTTGCAAGTAAGCCAAGTGCAAGCAAGCCAGTTACAATATATACCAAATATTTTCAAGATTCCTTTTTGACTCTGTCCAATTGAAGATACAGGTAAAGTTCTCATCACCTTCAGCAAGTTAGAGAAAATATTTTTAGAAAATACCATTCTCAATATCTCTTTCTGAGTATCTTACTTATTGAGGTAGGTATTTTATCCATTTATGCTGAAGCAGCTTTGGACTCCTGATCCTTTTTTGTCCATGTAGTAGAAGCAACAGCAGCAAATGTCCAGCTACCATGCTCAGAGGTGTGCTCCCATTTTCAGCATTGACTTAAGACTAAACTGATCCCTTTAAGAAAAAAAAAAATAAAAAAAAAAGTTGACTAACGGAATAAGACAGAGATTTTCTGAAGTGCAAATAATAAGTTTTAAATAACTTCCACAGAACTAGTGGTCTTAGCTACCATTTATAACCTGCAAGTTTTCCTGAAAGCTGTAGTATAAGGCTCATTGTTCACTTTAACACTCTTGAAAATCCTGTGTATACATTTTCAAGAATGTCAGAAAACATCGCAATACAAGCTTGAGTTTGCAGCTCATAGTTCTACAAGGAGTACAACTACAAAGAAAGGCTGGCTATTTTTAATATACTTCTAAGTATGCTTCTGTGAGTGCATCCATCTCGGTAATCAGATCTCCTTGTTAGTTCAAATTCTTCAGTTTTAAAAGTAACCAAAAGACTACAGTCTACTTCCATGATTTTTCAGAAAGTACTGTTCGCTTTGCCTAATACTTTGTAGTTTCAACTCAGTTCATATGTATAATGTGTTGTGTTTTTTTAAATATTTCTCAGCAACAGGAGAATGTGATCAAAATGTAGTTCTTTGAAGTTAAATACATAACAGCATGTAAGTACATGTAATGGCAATGCCTCTAATTTGCAGGAGGAATGACAAATCATAAGAACTGTACCTGAGACAAGAGCCAACCCCACAGTGCCTCTGAAAGCAGAAATTCCTGGTGCAACAAAGATCAAGCACATCGCAAAACTGTATTCTGCAGAAGGAGCTTTGTGAGGTAAGCGTGAAAATAAGGAGAAAATAGGAAAACCTGCATCGTTTTATTATCCAAAGACATATTTGCTGCTATTCCAAGCATTTTTATTTGTGGTAAACTACCCCTTCATCAAATTTACATATAAATGTAACAGGTTAAGAAAACAGATGATGGGTCGTCCTTTGCTGTCATCTCATGGGCCAACCTTCTACAAAAAGGGAGTGAATCACGGTTCAGTGACATACTACTACAGGAACATAACCTGCAAAATGTATTTTAAAAAGGCACAGTAAGTAGAGAATTAGTGATTTAGCGATTTTGAAACAAAGGTTGAAATCCCACCTCCCCCAAAAAATGGATGGCACGGTGCCAGGGGCCAGGATTTACCTGGGGGTTATGGCTGGTATATCATAACATACAACTGGGGAGCCAGAAAGGGGAATACACATTGCCTTTTTGAAAGCAATGTTTGTGCTTCTGGATGTGTCTGCCGTAAGCTGTTTGGAAAATATGGTGAAAGAGGCCACACACTCTTGCTGTTCCTCTCTGTTCAGCCGTTGTGCTGCCACCTGCAGATTTACTGCTGTAAAGTTAATTCTGTAGACCGCTACTTCCATTGCACGTGGGAGGGGAAAGAGAGGGAACCATGCATTGACACGCTCCCTCTGCTCCAAACGCTGCTAGCCCAGAGTAAACAGAGCACGTTGCAGACCTTCAACCTGCAGAGGTGTTCTGCGTGAGGGTTACTCTTGTAAAGGATGGGTTTTCCTGCCCTACTTTCCAGGTACTTTTCATTCTCCTAATGTACCCTCTGAATTTTCATTTCAAACAGCCATCACAGCATTGTTTTGGTTTGGATGAACCTTCTTAAGGCTTCTCAAAGCTTTTTAAAGACCTCTAAAGCTGTGCACTGTAAAACAAAGACATTTGTTCTGTTACTAGTGAGAAGCTGCTCCATTTTGCACTTGGGTGTGTTTGGATGCTGAGACCCTTCAGCACATTCAGCTCAGGCATCATCTGTCCAATCCTGGAGGAAATCCTTCCAAGTCTTCCACAGCTCTAGAACTGCTCTCTCAGCAAAACAGTCCCCAGGAAAAAGCAGGTTCGTTTCCTGCCACAGGCTCTGGGAGCATAAACCTGCTGCCCCATCCTGGCTCACCCCACCCGAGGTGGGAGGCAGTGCAGCTGGCAAACGTAGCTCTTCAGCCCACACCGCTCCCCCCTAAGGGTGCACCCAGTGATTACCTGCTCCTGTAGACAGTGGTGGCATTGGCAGCAAGGCCCATCCCTTCCTGTGTTGAGAGGTTTCAGTTCAGCAAAGTTCTCAGTTGTGTTCTCATGCAAAGTCATTCAAGCGTCATTTTCACAAACTTTAATTCCATTAACTTCAGTGGGGCTAAAGCTCCAGAAGGGACTGATTTGCGCGACTGAATGTGGTGTTCAAGCAGAGGCTCTGATGCCTGCAGCGGGCCCAGGGTTTTCTCATCCAAGGCAAGCAAGTGGGAAGAGACGTAATATTTCCTAAACCTAAATTAACCCACAGACTTTATTCAATCCAACTTCTTTCCATTAAAGCCAATCGTATATCTTGGCTTCTTGACCATAAATGTGGAAGCAGGCACATGCATTCCTGCAGAGCTGCCTGTGTGCTTTGGTTTGAGGTGGGTCTTCATAAACGACAGTGCTGGTGTAAGGTTTATCAGGGCGCGTTCTGCATCACCCATAGAAGGGCTCACAAAGCCAGAAGCAAGTCATCTCGAGTGTGAGGTCCTAAGTCATGCCACTGTACATGAAAGTCATAAATTGCAGTAGGAGGCAGAAATTCCCTATCAATATTCTGTGCAAACCTCAGGCATAAGAGAATAACGCAGTGTTAGAACTGCTGAATGAGTGCTCTGTGTGCACAAAGTCATTAAAAACCTGTGGAACAGTCAACCATGACTGCACAAAAATAAATATAGAGCTGGCCGTAAATAGTATCCCTTCACCTGCTTCTTCAAGTAGAATTTTATAAGAATGTTTCTTAAAGGGAATGATTTTTTTAACAAGGAGATTTTGGTATATTTCAATTGAAACCATATGCTTGTTCTTAGGCTGCTCAAATACAAAGTGAGTCTAGTTTTAAATTTAATACACTGTTAAAAACACCTAAAGAAAAATCTGAGTGAATGTGCTAGGATACAAAATGGATGTTTTCCAACTTCTAAAAACCAGATCTGGGAATACAAGTGATCTTTACTATGCAAGCATGTTTTGTTTTATTTTTTATTTGCCACACTTGGAAGAGCATGGGAGAGGAGATTAACCAGTTAAGTCCTATGATTTATTTTTTTAATCACTTTCCATCTTTTACTTTATCTGTACAAAAGATACTATCATGAATGTTTCAGTCTGCAGTGCAGCAGAGCATAGAAAAATTAAACTATTGCAGAGAAACATTTTATTAAACTTCATGCAATTGGTTAGGCTGATTATGTAGGCTCACACTCTAAAGTCACCACCACAGACTTTAAAAGATTGGTGAGAAGAGGAAACTTAATGACTAATCAGTATAAAATTTGTCAGGAACTAACTTCTGTTTAGAAATTCATCCCTGACCTTAATAGATCAGATTGTGTGTGTATATCAGAAAATGCCATCCTCATAAAGGTGGCAAAACTGGAAATTATATAGTGTGAAATCTGCTTAAATAATCAGGGAACTGACCTAGAAAATAGGACTTGTGAAAATCAGCTTTCTGAAAACTTAGATGTTTTCAAGATCCTACATCAAATTAATGTATTTGATCACAGGGCTGCAAATCCTCAGCAACTGTATCAATGGATTAATCTCATTTGAAATTACATCAGCATTTCCCCACTGGACTCTCTAAGATTTCTTCCAAAGTTTTTATTCACATTCTTTTCCAACCCTGCCAGAGCAGAACATGCCAGGTTTTAATCTTTTTCTGTTTTATGAGGTAAGGAGAAAATGAAAGAGAAGAGTATTTTTTTTTAAATCCTAAAATGAGTCTAATTTTCCTTCTGACAGTTTAGAGACATGGAGCATGTGTTATCATGACAAATCAGTGAACAATGTTTCTGTAACATTTGCAAAATATATATTTTCACACACAGCCTTTTCACGTTCACACACAGCGTTAAAAATAACATAGAAAGGACTGAAAATCAAATCAGCATTTTAACAGTATGATATGCTGACTCTGTGACAAACCACATTTACAGTAATGGGAAAACTTCTCCATGTGCTGGCCAGTGGTGATGCTTTTAAAGTGTTTTCATTTCCACTGAGGAAGTGTTATTATTTCCACTTCAGGAACCTTAGTGAAGAAATAGTAGAGATATCCCTTATGGGGCTGGAGGACTTTCAACAGCAGCGCTAGTATAATACCAGTAAACGTTTGCTCCTCTTCTCTCTTTTAATCCTCTCCCTTCTCAGGAAGCATACATCTTTTCTTTTCAAAAGTAACCTACGCATATCCCCAGTTTTCTGCTTTAGCCAAATCATATTTATATAAACAGCAGCCACTACAGAGACAGGCTGTGTTAAAATGTTTTTCTTTGCATTTTTCTGCCAAGGTTGAACTCATTTTGGTGCTGGCTAAAGTTGAGGTAGATCCAGTACTAACTGCATATTCTTCTGAGACAATCAGCCTGGCACACACTTTTTATTAGCTGTGTTTACATTCAGCTGCATTTACTGATGCTGCCTGTAAGCACTTGTGTTTGTTTTTTTAATTCAGTTTTCTGTATTGCTTATCCGAGAAGGGCTGGAGGACTCGGAGGACTGTGCCCATTCACAGCTCTGGTTTGATCCTGAAATCTGTGAAGAAACAGAAGGTTATCAGAATCTGTCAGCTTAAGCATAAGGTAGCAAAAGAGTTGTTTTCTTTACAAGTCTGTACATGAGAAATCTCTTGTTCAGGTGTTCCAACTCTAAATTAAGCTTACCTTTCTGAGAAACTCCACATTTCAGTGTAGGCACAGACAGCATTCTGGTACTGGAACATTTGGCACAGCTTATGCTTCAGCATATTCATTCCTACTTTGTGTTGTATTCCAAATTTATACTGAATGAGTGAATATTAAATGTCTTATAAAAGTTTCATTTTACAAATTAATCTTTTCTACAAGATCTCTAGTTATACTCTTATGGCAATGTTCCGAATACTCCTATGAAAAACTGGCATTATTCTTGCACGTATCCCTAACTGATACCCTTCAACTGAAAATGATAAACCTGAAAGCACAGAATGAAACAGCGGTGACTGCTGTAGTTGTTGTAGAGCCAAATAGGAAAAGCCAGTATTTCTAGTCACGTGTTTAAGTTGTCCAACATTTGCTCGGCCTGGCAATATTTTCAACATTCCCTTTTGTGAGGAACTATTAAAGTTGCTAGTGCATTTAAGGGATATAAACCAGCAAACTATTAATAAGCCAAAAAAAATTCTTTACTTCAGCAAAGTATACATATAGAAGGCAATTTATTAAACTTTGAATGGGGCATTATTCATGTTAAAACTATTACTATGTAGCTTTGTAACAGCTGGATATTGGCAAACTGCTGAAAATTATTACAAAGAATGAGTCAGAATAATATTGTTCTGTACATTTAATATGTAGATACAATATCTAAGTATAAAGCCTATTCTTCCTTTTGCCTTTTGTAACTTTGACACGTGACAGTGCAAATCTACCACCCCTGAATTCAGTTTTCTTGATATTCCTATTAGCATCTCAGTCATCCAAACGCCACCCATACTTTATTTGCATGTTCCATTCTGAAAAGTTAGCAATATGCCTCATTAAATTTTTCCAGTAACTTTGTGACCCATTAAAAAAAAAAAAAGTATGTATGTAATCACACATGCAATAACAGTAGCAGTAACTGATGAAGAACGTGATTAGTGGGGGTAAATATATAAGCTATTATTGCACACCTAACTTGATGGCATTTGAGCATTTGGTACTACACCCTACAATTAGAAATTACACTCACATACTTGTTGGTCTCCTGTTTAAACAAGGTATCTTTTTATAAAAAACTATATAACAGTTCACAGCAGAAAAACAGAAGGCAGTAGTCAGCAAACAGCATTTATACCCTAAAGCCTGTGGGGCCTTTAGGACCATATAACATATATCTGTTCCCTAAATTACTGACCGCTTACATCCGAAATATTCTGATGCTGCAAAGTTTACCATGATCTGCAACAGAAATAGCAAGCATATGTGAGCCAAGAACTGAAGATAAAGCACTGCTTGCAGAGAAGATTATGCAAGTGTTGCCTGAAATCCAGCACTGAGCTACGTATTTGTGACCAGTTCACTGGCAATTTCTGGACGCAATTGGAGGCCAATTTTGGTGCTGTTGCAAAAGTGGAAGAAGTTTTTCAGCAGAATAAACTCTGCTGTTCTCCACATTATTATAAAACTAATGCTGTCCACTGGAAAAATGATGGCTTTACCATAGCAGAGTATATAATGCCAAGTATTTGTAAAAAGGCAGTATCAGTATCCTTCTTTATTTTTATTTTCAGTACTTTCTTTTTGTTTTGTGAATAGGAATTTATGTAAAATTGCTTGAACAGACACATAGGGTAAAATACTGTCATAGTGAAATCAGCGGGACTTCTGACAATGCTAGGATTTCAGTGAAGGCCTTCATGCAAGTGTGCCGCAAAGAACATCTGTTTCTTGGAGGCATCCCCAAAACTCCCCAGATCTCCGATCTCACAGAACTACTCCTATGGGTTCCTAGCAGAAAATGCAACATTCAGCATAAAACTGCCCTCTCTCTCCTGGTTCTCTCCACCATGCATTTCTTGTATTCCAGAGGAATTCCCTTCTGTCCTTGCACTTTACAGATAAAGGCAGAACTGTTTTTAAAAAACTCTGCACTGACGCTGATTTTTATGTTGTTATTTCAGCCATTGCTGTAGTGTTGCTGATGAGAGTAACTACGATGAAAATATCTGACCCTTCAACTCAGGTCTTGGTGCTTAAAGGTAAATGTTACTTTCATTATCTTTCTTTCAAAAGAAAAAAAAATCTGATTTTCATTTGTATGCCCATAGTTTCATGGACAGTTCAAAAGCATTCAGATTATCTTGATACATTCCTAAGGCTATTCTCTTTTAAATGTGATTTTGGAGTGATAATGGCTACTCTTACAAAATATTGTTCTGTTAGCATGAGTCTACATCTTCTCCCTTGTTTGATGTTTACCTACATCCTCAGTTAAAATACAGGATTCTGTTGCACTGTAATCCTGATGTGTATAAGTACTGCCATAGCTCAGGCTGTTGCGTGTCTTTCATCAAGTTCCAACCTTTATGAATGGCTTGCCCACTGAGTCACCAAAGCTGCAGATCCCATATTGTAGACTTCCTTCAGCAGCAGACATTCCAGGTGGGTTACTTAGGGAGAGACTACTTTGGTATAAAACTTAAACAAACTTGGATAATGCATGTTGGATTGAAAACAGTAATGGCCAGGAGCTGGCAGCTGCAGCAGGGAGCAACAAACACCTCTTAGTTTCTTAACATATGAAGAGAGGGGGAAAAAATTATTTACTAAGGCTGAGTTTTTCACCTACTGTGGAACTGGTGAAAGCATAACCATGCTGACAAAGCTATAGCTAAGAGATTTACAGTGTGGTGCTTCCACGAAGAGACCTCAAAAGTGGAGTCCACCACAGCTCAAGTTCAGCCAAACCAGTCAACTGGCAGTAATACCAGCTTGGGTGGAAATTTATGTAGATAAAATACTACGGTTGGCAAAGAATTGGGAACCAAATAAAATATTAGGTGAAACAAGAGCACCCTGGGAATAAAATTGTTTGAAAGAGTCCCTGTTGGCAAACAGAGACCAAGCACAAATGCCAAGCAAGCTCCGTTGAATAAGCTTTAAACCTTTTATAGAAAGCTGAAGCACAAAAGCTTAGCCTAATCCAACCTATTTATATGAGTGTTTTCTGAGCTTAATTACAAATTTAAAATGTTTCCAAATGTGTGGCGTGTTTCTGTTTGGATAGCTTGTCTGGCTTGGCTTTTCAGCCGTGCAAAAAAAGTTGCCCAGACTCTGCAAACACCGCACACCTTGAGGTGTATACGTATGCAGCTTTAATGGACTCCAGGGCTTGGAAGGACTACTCAAAGCAGTCCATAGGTGAAGACTCCAGCTATTACCCTTGCTGTCCTGGGCTAGGTTTTTGTTTGGTTGGCTGACTGGATGTTTTATTCTTTTCTGTTGTTTCTCAGTTTGTTAGTTGTAAGATGTTCTACGTTTATCTAAAGTGCTTCAGTAGGCTCTAAAGTCAATACTTTTAATGATAACCTACCATGTCAGTGTTCCCAAGTAATCAGGCCACGCTCACCGTGAGGACTCACATTCAGTATGCTGTGTCCTACTTTAAAGGCCCTCTCCGTGTCCTTAAGCCCATTGCTTGAGCTCCCAGGAACCCATACTGACATCGCAATCGGTAGCAGAGGCAGTTGAAAACAGAATTGGCAGAGTCACCAATGCCAGACACATAGAAATACTGAGATGATGGGTTGTAAGCCTCATTCATCTCTAGGTTGCAGGAAAGTGCAGCTGTCTGCTTGAGAAAAGCAACCGGGACTTTCAGTCCTGGAGTAAGAGGCCTACGCCACCCCTTTCTGATAAAATAAAGCCAGAGCCCTCTGGTCTGAGCCCTGCCATAAGGCCATTCAGCAAAGATGTGAGAGGGTTTGGTTAGGTCTGTGGTCTAAAGAGAAACAAGTCCGGTGCTTTCTGACCAATGTCTTAGTCTGTTAGCTACCAGTTAATTTAGGGTGAAACGCTTCCAGTTTGCATGGAATAATCAAAACCTTGCCTCGTCTTTGCCCTGAAGAAGGCAGCCCAAGAGCTTGTGCTTGCAGGGTGAAGGCAAGGGGAGGGAAGGGGTTTGAAATGTAGGTGTCTGAAGTAGTGGCAGCATAACAGCTGCTACAGCCACAGCCCCGAGGGCCCTGTAAGGCTCCAACCTACAGTGTCCAACCTAACAGTGAAGAATGCAGAGACACGACAGAAGAGGCAGACCTGTTTCCCAGTAAAGTTAATCCTAAGCATCAATTATTCCAAGGAGCAGAAGGCAGGGATGATCAGCACTGGATGCTGGTTAAATATTTATATTAAGGAGATGGTATACATATTTCTGCGTGCAAAGCTTTCATGAACTGCAGCGGGAGTTTTAACTGGGGCCGGCCGCAGGATTTGGTGTAATCTCTGCTGGCTGGCGCCTGTTCCCATGAAAGAGGATGTGCAAGGACCTGCTGACTTCACAGCCCGCTTCCTTTCGTGGTCTCACCTTGACGATTCAGAAACGATAAAGGCAGCTTTATCCATGCAATGTGCAGCGCTCAGCCCCGCCGTAACCCGGCTGCTGGGTTCCCGCACAGCGTTGGCTCACCGCAGAGGAGCGCTGGAGCCGCAGCATTTCGGCGTGCGGGTTTCCCTCCTGCTGCAGAGCCGAGCGGGGCGCCTGCCCTCGCTGCATTCATCCCCTCACCTCGCCAGGGCTCAGCGCGCTGCCCTCACCCCCAAACCCGTTTTTTTTTTTTCAAGCGGGGACGGGACGGGCCGAGCCAGGGGGGCGATGCCCCGGGCCGGGGGCGGGCGGGGGCCGCTCTCGCCGTGCTCTGCCCGGCTTTTAAGGGCGGCGCGCTGAAACCCGACACCAGAGCGCCGCCAGGCTCCGCACCGCCGCCCGCCCTCCTCGGCCCGGCCCGGCCCGGCCCGGCCCCCGCGTCCCGTCCCGTCCCGGAGGGCGCCCATGGGGCGGGGGCAGCGCGGCGCCGGCCGGCCCTGAGGCTGCGGGCAGCGATGCGGGCGCTGCGCCTGCTGTGGCTCGGCTGGCTGTGCAGCCTGTGCCGGGGGTACTTCGAGGGCCCGCTGTACCCCGAGATGTCCAACGGCACGCTGCACCACTACTTCGTCCCCGACGGGGACTACGAGGAGAACGACGACCCCGAGCGCTGCCAGCTGCTCTTCAGGGTGAGCGAGCAGCGGCGGTGCGGCGCGGCGGCGGCGGCGGGCGGCGGGCTGAGCCTGCGGGAGGAGCTGACGGTGCTGGGCCGGCAGGTGGAGGACGCGGGCCGGGTGCTGGAGGGCATCGGCAAGAGCATCTCCTACGACCTGGACGGCGAGGAGAGCTACAGCACCTACCTGCGCCGCGAGTCCGCGCAGATCAGCGACGCCTACTCCAGCTCGGACCGCTCGCTGAGCGAGCTGGAGGGCAAGTTTCGGCAGGGCCAGGAGCAGGGCGGCCGGGAGGAGGCTCGCCTGGGCGACAGCTTCCTGGGGCTGCTGCTGCACGCCCGTGCCCTGCTCCGCGAGACCCGCGACATCTCCAGCGGGCTGCGCGACAAGCACGACCTGCTCGCCCTCACCGTGCGCAGCCACGGCGCCCGCCTCAGCCGCCTCAAGAACGACTATCTCCGCGCCTGAGCCCCGGGGGCTGAGGGTGAGCTCTGGAAACTCCTATTTATTGCACAGGGCTTCCCAAACTCTGTCAAACCCGAGGGCGGAGGTACGGCGAAGCTAACATCCACGTATCGGTGAAAAACTGCCCCGCAGTGCAGCGCCCTGGAGGTTGCCAACGAGCCCCCCGTGCTCGCCGCGGAGCGCACCTCGACGCCTCGCCTCGTTGCCCACCGTGGTCCTCGCCAGCCTCGTGCAGAGCAGAAGCATGGGTTGCTTCATTGTTACCCCCTCGTTCAGGGTGAACCCTCTGTTAACTTTCTTAAACTTTTGTAACGGCATGTACTCTACTCATGTAAAATGTTGTTCTACTACGTAACTTGAAGCTGTGATTTCCATTTGCGTTGTGAGAGACGGGATCTATTCCGGCAGGATTTGTACTCTTTATGGTCTTGCTTATCTGTGACTCTGAGCTATCGTAACCCCAAGAGCCAGCCAAAAAGGCTTATGTCAGATCCTGAGAATGCTGATGCAGATTTTTATAGTAAGAAGGAGCTCTAGCGGCGATTGCAGTTTCAGATCCAAAATTGAAAAGCAGGGTTTCTTAGAGCGTGTTTCTGAAGCAGACAAAAAGTTGGTGTCTGTTCCAACATAGTGACATTTCCCATTGGCGCCCTTGTACTTTTGCTAGCTAAGCTATTAATAAAACTATTTTTGCTCCTGGACAATAGCAAAAGTGCCCAGTGGGAAGGAGGGGGAGGATTGTTTGGGTTTTTAGGCTCATCACTATGTAATCAGCAACTTGGGGTAATATTGTTACGGATACTGCAGGCAGAATCGCTGTTTGGATGAAAAAATTCATGTGTTCTTTCAATAAACATTTGAAAACCATACTAAGGCACACTTTTCTTTTGCTGTTCTGCCTGAGACTCTCTTGATTTAAAATACGCAGTTGTAGTATGTCTTTCAGCAAAAATTTGTGACTGTGTAGATCCTGCCAAATTAAATAACTTGCCTTTTAGTAAAAACAAATAAAAATTTACAGACTCAAGGTAAGCAGCTCTCGTTAAATGAATGATATGGAAGAGCGCGTTGGGCTCTTTTTGGATTTTGTAAGCCTTTTTAAGAAACCAATGTATGAAACCAACAATCTCGTAGCACTGGAAACAGAGCTGTTTTATGAGCATTTGAGGTCTGATCTTGTTAACCCCATGTAGTTGTACTTTGATCTGCAGACCATCCAGCTGGGTAAGTTACTCAGAAGTGTAATGGGTCAACAGAAGTCACCTGGGACCAGAGCGCTGAAAGCATCAGGGAACACTTGACAAAGGTACGTGCATAGAGTACTTGTGGACGATCCATGCATCCGTCTTTCCTAAAGGCACTGAGCTTTAGCTCATAGTAGGACACTTTAAGATGTCAGTTTGCACCCTTAGATTCTTGGTTTCTTTGAAGATATGCCCATTGGTCCCGTGTAAAAATGGAAGCCTTGTATTGACTGAGTTCGGTGGAACTACGTGGTGTGATTTTCAAGTGTTACTTTCAAGGGATATGTGACAGATTCTAGCTCTGAAATAATTCATTCCTTGCCACTAGAGTCAGATGTAGAAACACGAAAGTGAAAAAAGTCATATGAGTCACTGAGTCTAGTTTGCGTGCTACCACAGTGAAGCATACAGCATTTGAGGGATGGGCCAATGACTGTACATAGAAGAAAAGCTCTAAAAGTTCCCAAGGGTTTCGTTCACATACAGTCTCTCCACTCTTTCTATCCTTTTAGAAGAACGTGCCAAAGATGTCATGCAGTTCCATTCATGCCCAGATTCTTCTTAAAACCCTGCCCAAGCCAAATCCTTGCAAAAGAAAGTGGGAGTGTTACTCTATGCTTATTCACTTTCTGAGGCACTGCTTATAATGTGAATTGTAAGCATCAGTAAAGAAACTATAGTGGCAAACCATGATGGTATTTTTAGCCACAATAGAATTCAAATCCTAATAGAAAAGTAGTAGCAGTAGTGTAAAACACAGTTTCTTGAATATGCTTCAGGCAGCTTGGCTTTGTACGTGCAGCAGTGATCTTTTAGTTGATCTCAAGCCTTCCCATGGTATGCAGCATACCAAGAGGGTAAATATTTGCAGAGTGGTTACTTTCAAAGCAGAAGATAGCATGACTTAACATGGAGATTTACAGAATAGCTCATTCAGCTTGGTGGCTCTGTATGTTGTCATCTAAAGAAGTAAAACTATGGTTCTTAAAATCCATGATAATGTTTCATATGATAAATATGAGCATGTTGGTAAATATTTCTGTCAATTTTCATTTCAGAAAAATTGAAATTAAAATCAGAGTGCTGCTCTAGAATTTGTAAAAGGCTTTAAACCTTCTTCTTTGAAAAGAAAATGTGTAAATCTGAGTCTGGGCTACGTGGAAATTTGCATGCTTAATAAAAAGTGTCCATTTTACATGGATTTTAAGAAGTCAGTACAAAACTTTAAGGGTATTTAAATCTATTTCAATTTGGTTTGCATCGTTTTAGCTGGTCTCAGCAAATGTCAGTAACAATCCATTAAAAATGTATCAGTTTTGAGTCAGAGCTGATACAAGTAAGTGGCCTTTATAAAGCTGCGGTCTGATAAACTATGCTGCAAAGTGCCTGCATGAATTGGGTGTTCAGTAATATCCAGATGTTTAAATTCAAAAGGGATCCTAATATCTATGAAAACTATATTGTAATCCTTTTTGTCATCTTAGCTTTTCTTCTTCTTCTTCTTTTTTTTTTTTTTTATCTGAAAAAACTTGTTTAATTAGAAGAGATGAAGATCTTCTGGTTTCATACAACCAATTCCAAATAGTCAAGGTCTTTTTATCATTGAGAACTTTAAATATTTTTAAGTGGAAGCCTTACAAGAACAATTGTAGCAGCTATTTTGACCCAATAGCTCCTCCTATTGTGTTTAAATATAGCATCAGGATTGGACTCTCTTTTTTCTTTTATTTATTTATTTTTTAATACCAGAGGGTGGAACTAAAGTTAAACTGTCTCTGTCCTTTTTGTGATGCTCAGGAGATTTTTCAAAATAGGTGCCACTTCGTCAGTTTATTGGCATTGATGATGGCATTGAAGAGCAGATTACAAAGTTTACTGAAAAAAAATAAATCAATTAATGTAAATGGAGCAGAAGGCAACAGTAATAGAGGGCTTACTTAGTACTTCAGTTTTATTTGACATTTGGCCAGTGATTTAATGCATTAAGAGTTAAAGTGAGTCATCAAGAGACAAGACTTTACTCCTCTCTCCAGGTAGCTTACTTCTGCAGTCAGTGCTCTGCTGTAGGTAGTCTCATGTCTACCAATACATGCGATAAGATGAAGATGCTCAAAGCGTAACTGTGGAGCAAACTGCTGTCTCAGGTGAGCACTAATAAAACTTGGGGAAAGGAAGGGCTGTGCTTGCAAAGGGCAGCATTTGAAAGCCACAACACCTGTGACAACTTGGTGGCTAGGAATGTGGGGTGATGGTATGAACTGTAGCTTTCTAAATTTAAATTTCCAAAGTTTCACAGGTTGACCTACCCAGCACCATTCTGAGAAAAAGAGAAGTCAAAGGAAGCTTTCAGAAACATGGTAAGCCTTGCAAAGATCCTGTGTGTACCAAATTTGATGGATGAATCGTCTGCAGTGAAATTGTTGCTCTTGTATGTTGTCATGTGCACAGGTGTGTACCTCAGAAGCAAAAAACATACTTGTTTCAGGCAAAAAAAAAAAAAAAACAACATGGTGATCTACAGACACAGCATCAACTGTGGCTATGATCTTGCCTTGAAAAGTTTTAGTTTGTGGAGAAATCCCATTAGGTGTGCCTGTTGCTGTTGTGTAGTTACTGGTTTAGATGGGCTTCGTGTTACTTCAACAGCTTCTTGCTTGTGCTTATCAGATATCACATTTGCTATTGATAAAGGAGTTTTCGGTGTCTTTGGCTGAAATGTAATTGTCAGACAATATTCCTGAAATAGTCCTGTATGTTTAAAATCTGTCTGGCATTCTTCTTTCTGCTATGATGTATTTGTGCTTACAGCCAATTGGGAAATTTATATCCTATTACTTCGCTTTTTGGCTAGCCACTAGCCAAAAACTGAACAATTTGTGGGTCCATATTTCATTGCTGAAGTATATGAAACTGGCAAAAACACTAACCCAACTACATATTCTTTAAAAAAAGCTTTTACTAGAACACATATATAAAAAAAGACTATAACTCTGTGATTATTTTATTTTCTTCATAAAGTTGTCGTCCTGCCTACAAGATCAGTTTACAACTGGAAAAGGCACAATTTAATGACTAATTCTGTAACAAGAAAAACATATGGTCTCCATAATCATTACATTTTTAATGATGTGGCTTGGAAAGAGTCATTCATGGCTTGTGGAGTCATTCGTCCTCAAGAACTGCCTTACCTTGGGGAGGTATCGCTGACCGTCTCCAACATACCATTAATATTCTTTCATAAGAAAAGACGATGCCAAGCGTATCGTATTTTCTCAGATGACAGCCTTGCTTAGGCTGCGTGAATACCTCTTCTGAATACTTAGAAACTCTCTATGAAACAGCAATTGTTCATTTCTGAACTTCCTTTGGGGAAAGAAGTCGTCCCTGGAGAAGGTTGGCTTAGGGGGCGATTCACTATCCAGTGCCAGATAATCAGCAAGTGCAGGATGACCGAAAAAGCTATGTGCTCGCATCACATTTTCCACACTTTTTCCATGCTGCAAACATTTTACTGCAAAAGCAGTTACCAACATAAATTATTTTTACTGTAAATAATAGAGGCTTTGCTATATACAGATTGTCCAAATTGCAAAATATTTTTTTTTCCTCCTGTCTACTTACCATCTCTTCTCAAAAATAATGTGACCAGGATTTTCAGTTTAGAGTTAGGTCCAAGGGAGTTATTTCAGTGGGCCATGAATAAGCCTTTGGTCTTAGGTTCTCAGCTATTTGACTTAAATTTATCTTACTATGCCTTTACCTGGTAATGATAAAGAAAGAAATCCTCCCCATACACTTTCTTTGTTGACCGCTCTTGAGTTATTCCAAAACAACCAACTTTTAACAACAGGCTTTGTCCTTTTTTTTTATGAATATGACTTTGTTTCTAACTTAATGTGATTTAACAGTGATTTGTATTAAAATTCACAGTAATATGAATGAATATTTTAAATAACCTGCAAATTATTTTTTTACTTTGGTACGTCCTTACAAAGTATTTGCAAAGCTTTTTAACTCCTGATTCTAACAGGCACAACAAAGTATGAACTCATTGGAAATTGGGACAACACAGAAGTGAGGACACTTAGGTTTGGAATTTTACATAATACCCTGTATAGCCTCTAATTTAAGAGTAACCCTAGGTAGATCTCAGTGAATAAACAAGATGTCAACTATCTTTGTTTGTCCTGTGGACTCTGTTCAGGATTTCATTAGAGTCAAAGGACTGCTTTTCTGTTTTTCATATTTCTCTGAATTATCAGAGTGAATGTGCTTTCCCTGTCCATGGAGATGCCAGGCACCTCAGAACGGGCTACATCATGAGGAGTGAACCAGCGAAGCAGGTAACAGTACAAATAACTTCCAGAGGAGACACTTCTGTCCCCAAAGCAAGACCTGGCTGCAGCTCTTCGCTTCTCTCCTGTGTGACTACTGTCCTGGTCCCTCACCTCTGCAACTCACAGGCACTCTCCCACCCTCATAGCTCTCTAGGTGCTAACCTGTCCTTGTCCAGTCTGACCTAACCTTCTAAGAAAAGCTTTGTCTTCCTCGTAAGAATCTGAGATGCAGTTTTCTCCCTATGGTCATGATTTCCTGGCCTAGTCACTCCACGCTCTTTCTGTGCATAAATACGAGTGCAGGGGGATAAACCTGCCCACGTGCATCAAGAATGAACTGCAGTTCACCCTCTGCTCATTTACTCTAGAAGCTAATTTGTGACCAGGGCCAGTTTTTGTTTCTGACGTTTTTATTTTTGTGGCAATTAGGGATTTCAAAAGGCCAGGCAGGCATCCCCCTGTGCTACATATATATTGATTTATAGCTCCTACCCTCATGACCTTTCTGTTGTGTCTGGTTCCACAGCCATGTGCAGGCTGAGTGGTATTTACTTACTTACATAGTCTTACTGAATTTAATGCGAGTTCTTCTATGTTTCTAAGCTCCACTTCAACCTGCCCTGCCGCATAGAGGCGCTTGTGAGAGAGTTAATGCCTGAGCACCAATACCCTTGGGCTGCTGCTGCTGCCTGTGTCCTCCTGCACATGCCCCGGGCTCCTGCTGCTGCTTGCCCCTGCTGGGGCTTTTCTACCGTGGCCTTCCTTCTCCTGAAGACTTCCCGTGACGTCTCAGGCCTGCTCCGAGTTGCTCCTTGCATCTCCTCAGCACATGTGCAGAGCTGAAGCTGACAGGACCACAAAGCCATTGTTAAAGTCGGTAGGTCTCACTCAGCTGGGAACACAGGTCTAGTTTTAGGCTTTTACTGTTGTGTCAGGGTAACGTATTCACTGGGCAAAAATTAGGGTTTGCTTTCTAACGACATGCTGCTTCTTATGCTGTTTGCACGTTAGCCTGTGACTATGTTTTGCAGTACCCATTACCTCCTAATTGCTGCCAACCTTAAATTTATTTGGCACTAACTTACTGCATAGACTAGTAGTCATATGGAAACCAACAGTGTTACCCCCCCCCGCATCATAGCTCCCCATATGAATGATAGAGGCAGAGTAAAACCCAAAGGGGTAAGTAAACTAATCTTGTACTACAGGATTCTGTAAAATGATATTGTGACGAGAAAAAGACACATAAATGTACAGCAAAATAAATAAGCTCCAGATTTTCACTGCATAGTACTTCTGACACACTTCTTTTAAAAATCTTTGTTTTATAGATACTCAGCAAATAAAAGCACAACACTAATGAGTCATATTTTGCTGACTTATTATGTAATCTTGAAGGCAGTTTGTTTTTATTTCCACTGGATAGGATACTTTTTCACTTAGATATTATGTAACGCTCCTTATAAAAATAGAGACCCGGTCTTGCAAACACCTTGGAGTGTTCCTGTTACAGAATGAGGCTTATGACCATTTCAGTTCTCACACCCTCCTTATTATGCTTATAATATCTCAAAACATTCCCCTTCTGGCTTGAAAAATTTGCCATTCTTGATCTTGATCTAAAATACTTCTGTTACTAAGTAAAAATAAGAACATTTACAAGATTAATTATAAGTATACAAAATATAAAATGTTTTTTATCAGCCAGTATGCATTTAATAGGGTTATAAAAGACAACACTGGTTATAAAAGACAACAAAGAAGAAAAAATACTTGAGAAACATAGTGTTAACGAAATAGGTGGTAAGGCCAACAGCACAGAGTCAGCACATCAAAAACCATGGCTTCTGGAGCTATAGTCTACATTCTGCACGAGCAGGATGCCCTTTCCTAAGTGCTAGTACTTGCAGATTGGTGATTGACACAGGGAAAGAGGTACATACTCTTACAACATTTATAAAATATCTGCAGGTATGGAATTCTCTGGGTTTTGTTTGTTTTGTGCTAATAGAGAGGCATGACAATTCTGGAATAAATAACTAAAGAATTTTTTAAACAGTATATATGAAACGTGCCCAGCTATCTGCCAGATGTCCAATGTAGTGAATCCTAAAAATCATTTAGAATTTTCAGCCTCCTAGTTTCAAATAGCATAGTCTAAATGGTAACAAAAATAAAAGGGTATACATTAGAAACTCATTAAAAAAAAAAAAAAAAAAAGCAGGAAGACAGCCAAGACAACCAAGAATGTGTGTGTTCCTTAGAGAAAAATGGGAGAAAAGTAAGGCAAGAATATGAAAGAAAGGTGGAAAACGGATTTGGGCACTAAATTTAAAGCAAGTAAACCTACCACTGTTGCCTTAAAATAAAGGAACACATCCAATGAGCTCCATGCATTAAAGCACTGCTTTGGCATGTGAAGATTTTTTTATTGAAGATGTTGAATGATAACTACCAACAAAAATATTTAATTTCCTATAAGTTGCAGACGTCTTAGCCTTTTTAACTGCCAAAATGCTGAGAGAGACAGTCTCTAAACAGTCATTTAATACTTGTGTGTATGCTTATTTCCATCCAACTAGCCAACGTTTCATCTTTGTGAATGTACTGCTGTCTGCTTAGACAACCCTTGTGTCGAAGGTTTTCCCCGCATGGGTTATACTGAGGCACCAGCACTTTTTTAGGTGCTTTGCACACCACAGCAGGGACACTGAGTACCCAGGGGGACCAGTATGTCTGGCATAGCTGGTGGAAAACTTCGCTGTGCCCCTCGCAAGGAATTGCTCATTACCCAAGACAGTAAAGGTTTTTCTTTTCCTTTTTAGTTCAGACACACAGCCAGCTTGTGCCCGCTGAAGAAGGTGAGGATCCTGGTCCAGTACAAGATGAAAACTTGAAAACCAGCATGGGACTCCCCATCTCAAAGCCGGGTAGGTGCTGTATCCCACTGCTGGGACACAGCAACACGTGAGCATTATTCTGTCTGTTAGAACCTCCCTCCCTTCAGCCACGCGAAACACATGGTGCAAATAAATACTGCACTGATGTATTTACCACCCAGAAGGTATGTGGCACTAAATAATGAGGATATGTAATTGCTATTTTGAAATCTATTCCCGGGAAGCTCATCTGCCTGAAGCTTACTGCTCACAAGATTTGCCTGGCTCTCAAATCACCTGCACCATCAGCTCAGAGGGTACAGGCAAGGCCGCTCCGTCTGTAACAGTGGGGACTTTTTATGCCACAGCATAGGCAGTGCTTGGCCCAGCACCAATCTTGCTAAGGAGAATCTTTCATATTTGGTGATATTTACAGTAGTTTAGATCTGGCATAGAGAGCCCAGGGTGTTGACGTGTATTTTTGTTTGTTTGTTTTTCTCCTTTTGCTTCTAAGGGCACACAGCTCATCACACCTGGTGAGGACAGCAAGGACACCCTCAGGTGTATTTCCTCCTAGGTCCTTACTTTGTTCCTCTCGTGCAAAGAGGTTTCTTAGTCTGATTTATCCCCTTTTATCTCTCTTCCCACCAGGACGCTTGAGTTTGCAATGCCTGGGGAGCGTTTGTTGGAAAAGAAGGCTCGGGAAACGACAGCTCTTCCCCGGCTTTCTCCTCGCATCCAGTCCAAAGGCCTTTTTAAACACATCCCGCCTCCCCCAAACACACACCGGGATCCCAGAGACCGCCTTAGGGCCCTGCGTGCCCCCCCCGGAGCCGCCTCCAGGCGCGGGGCCCTCCCCGGGGCCGGGCCTGTCAGGGCCGGGGGGGGCCGGGCCGGGCCCGGGGCCGCTGTGAGGTGCGGGGACCCCTCCTGGCCGCGTCCCTAATCGTGCAGGTACAGCTACGGAGCGTGTCTGACCCCAGCAGGCAGGAAAACGGGTGGTAGCAGGGCGGGGAGGCTGAATAGGGGGGGGGATTTGGGGGAAGGACAGCAGCGAGCATGAGCTGGAGGGAGGGGGAGGCTGGAAGCACGGCTGTGAGCAGGGAAACCTCTGAGCCTGTGTGCATGGGGCAGTGGGACTCGTAAAAGCTCCTGGTAGCGTTTGTTTTAAGCTGTGAAAGTCCCATGAGTGGTAACAGAGCAGAGTCACGCGTGGTGCCTTCGGGGGTCATGCAGCGGGTATCCCAAAGACGAGGCACGCGGAGAGCTGGGGTGCGGAGAGCTCGCCCTGCGCATTTCTGAGCCATTTGCTTTTCAGTTTGACCGTGGTTGTGAGCATCCTGATAACAACTTCAGGCAAACCAGGCAGTTCTGCTTCTCGTTTAGCGCAGAATGCAATTCCGAGTGTAAAATAGCACCACGTGGGTAAGTGTCAGCCTGGAAAGTTTGAGGGGGAAAGGGGATGAAAACTCCTGGGACTCTTGCTTGTAATTGAGCCTGCATTAGGCTGAGATTAGCATCCTACTTTTATTGTTGGAGGGGAAAAAAGAAAAAAAAAAAAGGAAAAAACGTTTAAACAATCGTCAATAAATTGAAAAACTACACTGAAGCTGTTAGCAGAATCCATATGCTATGTGACTGAAGCCATGAAGCATGTTCAAGAGCCTGTTAGAATATGAGATGTGTTTTTCCCCTCTCTGCAGTGGCCTGGCACCAGGCATTGGGATTTGTTTTTCTTTACCAGCAGCTCCCTGCGTGTCTTGGACTCCAAGGTTTTTAAGGCCTAAAGTAGTATTTCTCCAGTATTTAAGACTGTATCTTAGTTATTAAGAAAACAGGAGTGTAACCCCATAGCTACAGCTGTGCCAGTCACTGATCAGGGCTGGAAACTCACAGCTCAGTGACTGTTTGCAAATACACCTATGAGTGAGGCAGCGCTGTCTTTGTGCCAGCGAGTGGGAAGGCGGCAGGTAGCTTTTCTGTGGCACTTTTAAGTGAACAATAGCAGGATTTTCTGAAGACATCACTATGAACAGTTCAAAGTTCTTTACCGTCCTGTGGAGAACTCTTAGGAGCAGCACGCAGTTTGCAGACACATCCACCCAGTCCGTGGATGCCTCTCCTTGCAGCACACTGGAAATAAGCAGAGCCAGCAGGCAGGGCTTGCTCGTTCATGTGGCAGCTAGGGCCTTGCCGGTGCTGTTGGAAGAATATTTTGCCCCAGCTTCACACGCTGTGTCACTCGTTGCTCCGGGAGGGAGGCAGGGCTGTCATTCTGGCCAGAGCTGGGAGCTGGAGCTGTCCTCCTGCCCTGGCAGGCCGGGAGCAGCAGCTGAGCAAGCAGAACCATGGAGCAAGCGAGGGCGAGGGGGCACGGAGCACCAGGGTGAGTGGTGACAACATCGTGACAAACCCCGGGTGGCTGGGAACTGCTTCACATCCAGAGAGGTCTGGTGAAGGCATGCCAGCTTGCTGCTGTGTACAACGCAGAATGCTCTAGCACCCCACTGATGCTAACAGTAAAAAAATAAAAAGAAAAAATGCTGAGGGGGGAATATTTTTCTGAGAAACAGCATATGGGACAAAAACGAGACTTGCAGATCTATTTAATTTGTATGTCTGAGAAGAAAAACATCCAGAGCCCTGTTGCAGATATTTTTAATCACTGTCATCTGGGTTTTCATTTTAATAATGACACCATGATATGACTAACTCGAGGAAAACAATAAACAGCCTCTTTATTGTTACAAGATTTCTCTCGGTAGGTGGTTAACCCGAATGATTGCTTTACAATGAAGACAGAAACAGAAGTTGTAATGCAAACGCTGTTGTATATTTTAAAAGTGAATGCTTAACTTCACCACAAGGGAAATCTGCTGCTGTAATAGTTTGCATGGCTTCCTCTCGCATACCTACCAACCTGGCTAACATTGGATCCAAAGGGCCTGATTCTCTCCTAATTAACAGCGGTGTCATTTAGGTGCAAGTCTACTCACTTCAGTAAACAGACATCATAAACGAAAAATCTGAATAGGCTTGGAGTCGTGGGGCACAGTAATAATAGACAAAATAGATCTGTATATTAAAAAACCCACATACTGTGATTTTTATTAATCCCGTGAAGCGTGCGGTGGAATTGTTTCCTACCCTAAGCGTATCGAAGGCTTCTGCTGCAGTCTGGGAAAGAGATCCTCCCCTCTCTCTGGGGTGCAGAGGCTGGCTATTCAGCGTCTGGCTGTTAGGACTGGAATTATTTCAAGAGAGCACTTTGTGGTTCACAATAGGTTGGACCTCCGATGCCAAAACCTGACGTCGCTTGGAACGGGGGTGCCACTGACAGCAGCAGAGGCTTGCTCTGCCTGGCAGCAAAGTTTAGGGCTGCTACCATCCACGATTCTCCCAGCAGTGTTGTGCGTAGCAAGTTGTATGCAGAAACAGTGGTCTGGGAACAGGAGCACCAGTTCATCATAAAATTACCACCGTGAAATGTCTTGCAGAGTGTAAACACCGACAGCGTAACATCCACGTCAGAGCTAGCTGCTGGGGCTCTTCTTGTAGCTGGGGGAGAGAAATAAGAGTTCAGTTCGTCTCATCCTGAAGCAGGTTTCTGCAAAGGTCAGGTGAAGTGTGCCCTAAATGTGCCTGTTCGTTACAGGTGTTGCAGATGGCTCCTGCGATGTTTGGGTGTAGGTGACTGGTACATGTCTGAGGTGAGGCAAGATGAACGCTGCCATGCCGTGCTTCTCGGATCTAAGCAAAGCTGGAAATTCCCCTTTGGCATACAGCCTTCCCCACTGTAACATAGATTATGTGTAACTTCCAGAAGATTTGTTTATTTATCTATTTGTTTCTAATTTAGAAGTTGTGTCTGGCAGGATTGGCTGCATCTGATTTTTGAGGTTGACCTTTGTTCCAAAGCAGTTGCGAGACTTCCTGCCACTGACTTGGAAGAAATTCTGCTTGAGATAGGCTGTGTGTGCCTGAGTTATCATTACCCTGCGAACAAATACCAGTTAAGCAACATCTGTGACAGGAAGACAGTAAACTCACCTTAATTTCTCGTCATAAAAAATATTCTGACGTGGTTTTCTATTACCAGCAGTACTACGAGGGGCCTCTTTGGAACAAGTTCAGATTTCTTAACTGAATGGTAAAATACAAGAAGCCTGGATGCCCTTCGAAGCTGTCAGACTTCAAGTAGGACTGCAGACTTGGTGATGAATGCTCCCTGAAGGGCATTCGGGAATTAAAGGCTTAATTACTTTTTACATGAAGACTCCAACGATGAAAGTGATTTAACCGGTTGTGAAATTAAACAATAAGTATGCGAATAATACTTAAGTTATTTGGCAAGCCACGTTAATTAAAATGAGAAAATTATGCATGAAAGTTTATCCGAACAACTGGATGGCGTGGTGTACCAAGTGTATGAAATACTGCATAGGCAAAGCACATAACGAACTAATTAGGTGGGTGTTTTACAGAACCAAAAAGATCTAGTTCTCAGAATTCTCCCTGGTAAGCCAGAGGAGCTTCCTGGAGGCCTTGAACTTCGAAAATCAAATCTGGTTCTCCTGGTCTTGTCCTAAGCAGATGCATAAAGGAATGCCTCCGTAGGTGTAGTGCACGGAGATGTGTCCCTATCTGCAGAGGAGCTGGGCTGGCTGGGCGGTTGGTTCTGGGAAGAGTTATACCCTGGAAGACAGGTAGAATAAATTGCTCCTACCGTTTAGGTTGCTTGTATGCTTTCTAACCTTGTTCTTAAATTCAAGTGGCCATGAGTGCAATGCTTTGGGTTGAATTCAGTAGTCATGATGATGATGCTTTGATGATTTGATGATGGTGCTTACCCAACTGTGCCTTGCAAGGGGCGGCTTCCCCTTCACCCATCTTAGATAAACTGCCACCTCTTAAGGTGTGTGTGAGGATACCCAGATCTGTCAGGTTGTGCTGTCATTGGAGCGGATAATGTTAGCTTTTGGGGGATTCAGGTGACTTTGTACGCAGATGGGCAAGTATTGACAGCCTCGGAGCTGCCTAAGCAGGTAGGCAGTGGTTTTGTGGCTTGCGCTCCTGCATCTAAATGGTCCTGATTCCACCTAAGCTGTATGCTGGTTAATTAAGCGTGCTTTTGGTTCTGATCCATTGTCATCAAATAATCCACTGCCTTGAGCAGAACCACCGTGTAACCAGCACAGATGCAGCAGAAGTTTACAGTACGTTAAAGTGGTGGTGTTGTTACTTGCTCGGAAACCAGCTCTTCTAAAGTTTCAGTATATTGGAAACATTCATTGTGTTCCAGTGCTTGTCTTTTGTTTCAAAGAGATTAGAATAAGTATCCGATTGTTTTATGTTTAAAAAAAAAACTAAAATGTACCATGTCTTTGCAGCCATACATAATAAAACTTTGTGCAAGACGTTTCAGAAGGAAACTGCAGCCAGTCCCCTGGTGTAAATATTTTTACAGTCAACAGGAAAATTGCTGTGCTTGAATAGTGCTTAGTGTGTATTTACATATATATGTGTGCACATATACATGTGTGTGTATGTATAAAAGGAAAGATACATCTGGATATGAATCCATTTTTGGATAAAAGAGATTTGAGCCTGTGTGCACAAAGCTGTTCCTCGGGCTGAACTGCAAGTGGAAGTTGGTAATTAATGGGTTCTGATGGGACTGCTATGCCCAGACAAAAGAAAGTAGAAATCAATATTCTGCTTTGCTGTACTCAATCAAATCAAATAAAAACAAAAAGAGACCCTGGGGCCCTGTACAGCGTAATTCTAACTTAAAGAAAGGAAAGGAAGAAAATCAAAAACCTTCTGACAACTTCTGTAGGTTTTAGTGTGTCAAAACACTGACGCTAATGAGGTTTTCCCTGTGCAAAGACAAGTGGGGAGGCTTTGGTCCTGACAGGGCATCAATATTTTGCCCTCTGAGTAGAAGAACAAAAACAACAGAAAAAGACACTGAACACATTGGAAATAAATACACAAACTTCAAAATGATTAAACAGTCTATTAAAAACAAATGTGATGTTTTATTGATTTGAGGGGAGGCCAAGTGCTTTCCTGAATAAGAAAAACATTAGATCAGAACTTCTCTTGTAATTTAAGGTTTGGATGCATCGTCTTTCTTCAGTACAGCATACAGCTAACTTCAAATATTCAATTAGCTTTAAATAACCCAGCGTACGTATAGAAAGCAGGCTGCCTGTGCAAGGAGAAATGAGCTCTTGCAGAACTCTGTCGTAGCTCAAGTTGTATTTCTTGTATTTCAAAGCTTTTCCCTGCAGGGAGATGGATGCAGCGTTTGCTTTTCCATAGTGTTGAGAGCAGGAATTAAGGTGCGTGCACTCCAAAGCCGTAGCTTGTCAGCACGATTGGTAGCAGCACCTACGTTTGAGCTGTGGAGCTCATCTGAAGGTGTCTTTTATAAAGAGACAATTTATGCAGTAAGTATTGAACTGACTGCAGGAACTGAAGATGGTGAATCAAACTGAAGCTCTGCTGATCCCAGGGCTTTCTGAATAGGTGGGTCTGAATGCATGGTTTTGAGTGCCTCAAAAAAACAAACAGGATAATGAATGCTCCTAAACGTTGAGGTAGAAGACAGGTGGGGAGAGCCATCTCAACGTGCTCTTTCTATTACAGTTTCTCCTTCAGTAACACACTGCCCTTCACCCTGCTGTAGGAGCTCTCCGTCCGGCGGGGTCGCGGAGGCCGCGATGTGGAGGCTGGCGGCTCACGTGCTGCGGGGGACCAAAGTCCACGCCGTGCTCCAGGACAGGAGCGTGCTCACCACGGCCACCCTGCTGCCGTGCCGCCGGCGGGGGACAGCACGAGGGGCCCACAGCAGCGACATGAGCACGGCGATACAGAAGGTGGAGGCTCCGGACGCTGAGCACCTCATCCGCGTGCACTGGGCGGACGGGAGCGAGAGCCGCTACCCGTGCGTCTGGCTGAGGGACAACTGCCAGTGCCCCGACTGCTTCCTCAGCTCGGCCAAGGCACGCAGGCTGCTCTTCGAGGACCTCGATGTTGACATCGTGGCGAAGGAAGTCACTCTGACAGACAGAAAAAAGGTACTCGGGGAGGCACTGGTTGCTCTTCTAGGGAAACGTGTTTAACAATTCTCGTTAATCTGCAAGTTAGAGATAACCCCAGGATATGCTGTAACCATCATTCATTTATCCATGATCAGTAGTGTGGATTTGCACTGCTTTTAAGAATAACCCAAGGATCTAACGGGAGTAATTCGGGCAAGTTGGGTCTTCCCAATGTATATGAAACTACTTTATACGTGTGACGCATTGGGCACAGAATCAGTTTCCAGAACATAATTGTTCTTTTTTGAACGTTTCCTTATTATCAGATGTTGAAAAGAAAATGTAGGCATTCCCCACACTTCTAATTTTGCATTAACATCTGTCTTTTTTCTCTTTATTTTATAAGTGACTTGCAAATTAGAAAAACAAATGGGAAAGTGACGATAATCTAAATTCATTACGAAGATATCTGTATATTAGCTGATATCTTCCAATGTGCAAAAGACTTCATTTTAGAGCAGACACTCAAACTGAAGTTGAACCCAATATTCAGTGCTGGCCTAGTGTCTGTATCTGTGTCTATCCATCTACGTTAACGCTTGCTTGTGAAAAAGAGAGGTCATTGGGCAAGAGGGGAGAGGAACTGCCCTTGCTGTAAATTTTAATCTTTCCTGACATGTAAATGCCTAGTATATTATCTAGATTTTATACGTTTATTTACAAGCAGTACATAGCTCCCTTGATATGCAAACTCACTTCCTTCATTTTGCAGTTAAAGAGGTTTAAAACAAGTTACAGACAGAGCAATCAGCCCTGTAACAGCCGGGGCTCATCTGCAAGACAAGGTGCTGTGTTTATTTAGGCTCCCAAGCTGATGGTTCATTACCAAAAGAAATGCAGTGTAAATTCACCCTTTGAACGAGCAAATGTACTGTGATAGAGGGATTGCCTGCTTCTGTGTACACTCAGGAACTGCAGGCACAGCACTAATCATAAACTAATGCTGGTGTTTTACCATAACATGAACGGCCAGAATTTTGTGAAATGGGGATTGAAGCCTACACAGCAGATGAGAGAATTCCATGGGGTGTGTGTGCTGCACTGAGCTCTTTGGTTCATTGCAAGCAAAGCTTTACACTTTTCATCCTTTTTTTTTTTTTTTTTTTTTTTTTCAGGAATTGAAAAATATACAATTATTTGAAAGGGGGAAAAAGTGTCAAAACTAGGGAAATTATTTATCCCCTAACATTTTTTTGCATGTGTCTGTCTTGTTCTTTTTCTGTTTTGACAGCTGTCAGTGTTTTGGAAGATATTTTTGCTCTCTTCTGAGTTGTTGATAAAGTGCTCTCCTCAGTGGCGTGTGCCAGCTTCTGTGATTCCCCACTTTCTGCTAAGCAAAGCACACGCAGTGACAGCAGCCCGCACAAAATAGCAAATTAGGTCATGTGCTTATGTGAAAATAACCATCTATAAATGGTATCAGAACTTGGATGGTGTTCAGATTGGGATTTCATTAATTGCTTGCAGTTACACTGCAAGGAAGCCTGGGCTGATATTACTGATTGAAATATTGCAATATTTGTAATTTCTAAGGTTGGAGTTTTTAGTTGTGTTTTTTGTGGTTGTTGTTGTTTGTTTGTTTGGTCTACATGGTGGTTGTTTTTTTTCTAAAATGACCTTTCTTTTTATTCTTTAAGATATCTATTACATGGCCCGATGAACACACAAGCGAATATGAGGCTGAGTGGTTGAAAAAACGATGCTTCTCTGAAGCAGCCAGAGCAGAGATGCGAGAAGATTTGTTTTTACCAGGTAGGAGTTCAAACCGCCTCTGTGACACAGGTTTCAAATGCAGGTGGTCTGACACTGCCAGCCCTGTCTAGAGGGTCCTTGCATGAGGACCAAGTCCACCCAGCTGAAGCAAGCACAGCCAACCTTGGGAACACGCTTGTTTGCCCTTTTCTCTCTTCTAACCTCTGGACTGCAGGCCAGGAGCAGCCACTCGTGACCGCTGTGTCCTGGGTCACTTGCAGGGAGAGCAGCGTTCAGCTGCTTGGGCTGTGTTTACTTTCCTAAAAGACACTTCCTTTCAGATAGTTTTTGGAGATCTTAAAATGAAGCTTGTGCAGCACCACTGATCTGTGATAAAGCATATGTTGGTGCTCTTCAAATTATTTAAAGCTTTATTTTTAGAAAAAAATCTTTAGAATTGCAGGGGAATTATAACTGAAATATTTTTCCCTTTCCATGGCCTTCTGTTAAAAAGTAACCACATAGCGCACCAGTGTCTTGTGCTGAAGTTCAGGTTGTGTTTGCTCTGTGTCTGATTCGTCCTGCACTAGTTGACCGTCCTTTGGAAAAGAAGCATTTTGTGCAACGGGCAGTGAAACATTGGCAATACAAGCAATGGTCACCCACGACACATCATACACCGTTTTGAGAGAATGATTATAAAATCACCAGGTTTGCCATGATGCACAGTATCATTTCTTCTTTCTTTGTCAGTCTTTTGTACTGTGAGCATGGAATGTGTGAAAACTTGCAAGATTTCTGCAGTTGCCCTTGACAGCGTTCCTGTGAGTTCTGCTGTTGCAGAAAGCTGTGGATCAGGATTCAGAGCTAAGCCTGTATCCATTAAAATAGGGTATTATTTTAGTAAAAGAAAGTAGAGGCAGGCTGATGGTGTGAAATTCAGATCCAGCTATTGGTTCCATCAGAGCTCAGCAAGAGGAGAGTCTGAGGTTGTTTTATGCTGCTCTTTTTTGATGTGTGTGTTTTTTTTTTTCTAACAAAGAAAGGAGAAAGATTTTGTTTTGTTTTGTTTTTCCTGAAAGTTTATAAATGGGAAAGCATAAGTATCATCCACCTCTGAGTTTCGTCTGGCACTTAGGGACAACTCAAGGGGCCCATTATCTTTCCCAATTTCTGCCTGTCAAATCTTCCTTACTCCTAGCACCTGTTTTCCTAAACAAAAGCCAGTTATTTAGATTCAGCCTTTTACATCTAGCTTAAAACTTCAGTTATGAGTAGTATTTCCATTCATTTCAGTGGATCGAGTAACAGATGTCTAGTAATTCAGAATGGAACTTTTTTCCTCTAGTGACTGATACAAACGTCTACGTCTACTTTTGCCTTGGCAAGAACAAACTACGCTGTTTACTGTTTAATAGGCTTAGGCACGTTCCCAGAATGAACATGATGAAAATGCAAACCTCATATAGGGAAACTGCATTTGATTTCTCAGCTAGTGAGAACTTGTATTTGGAAAAATGAAGATGCTGTGGAAGTTAACAAGACATTTTATAGCGTTTGGGGGGATCGATGCAAATCGATTGTTGCTCTAATTAATGCCCAGACAAATTAGTTTAGATCTCTGGCTAAGTTTATTAGCAAAGGTATCAATAACTGTAATTTCGGGGATTCGGATATAAATTGCTTCTTTTTTCCCTCCATTATGAAGCCTTAACTGGGTATGATTTGGCTTCTCTCGCATATTTACAGTGTGCTTACTCTCAGGATCTAAACACGATGCTTGTTTTGGAGGCCACTTCTCCCCTCTGCTGCTGCTGTTCTCTAGTGGAGCAGTCCAGATAAAATAAACACTAATGATACTTTTTGTTCTTTGGGCAATGCTTTGCAAATTCTATTTTCCATGGTAGATCTGAGTAAATATGTTTATGGAAGTTGCACTAAGTAAGGGCCTGCATTAACTTTGGCTTTGTGTTGTAGTGTCATTCTGCTCTTTCTCAGATTCCCAGAGAAGATCTGGCACATTATAATGGATTGCTTCTTCCAGCATTTCTCAGGTTTTGTTTGCACAGAAGGCTGAAGTTATAAAGGATGTGAATTTGCTTGTTGGCTGTTTGAGACCTGTTTCTCATTGTGTATCACGATAAGTTTAGAATCAGCTTCCTTCTGGTCAGTGCAGTTACACCACTGCAAATTACATGCTCTTAAGTAGCTAATCATATCCCAGCAGCATAGCATTACAGATGACATGAAATGCCAGCCCTGCATACTGGTTCAGCAAATACAAGCTCACCAGACTGCTGTAGTTAGAGGTTAACCTTCACTGCTGACACTATCACAGCTGTGGCTTTTTTCTTTTCTTTTTTTTTTTTTTGGAAGTGGTTATTTGCATTCCATGTTGCTTTTATGATGATTTTTTGTTGTAATTTCTTTTTCAAAAAATTAGATGTCAAACGTGTCAAACCAAAAAAAAGAGTAAGTTGTACCTTCACTGCATGATGGAAGAGACTATAATAACTCCATGGCAGTACATCAGGAGTACACTTTTAGAAACAGTGCCAGACCTTATCAGTGCAGTATGCAAAGTCCTCTGTGTGTGTACACTGAGGCTCTTTTCAGGCTGGCCTAGGTTAAAACCTAGGTTAGGTTAAAGGCCTCAGACAGCGATGGTCCTTTAAAATGTGATAATGTCATACATGAACATATATCTGATTCCACTGTTTGAATCGGGATATTAACACTGTCGTTGGTGTTTTCAGTTTTTCTATGGGGCCCTGATAGATGACTTCTTTAGAGAAATAAGTTAAAATGTTTGTTTGTTTGTTTTTTACTAAAGGAGTTTGTTCATTTGAACATATCCTATAGTAATAATTAATGAGAACTGCCCCTGTGAGCTAGGCTGCCATATACTTGTGCTAAGTAATTGCATTGGGTTGACATGGCAAGGTGCAGTACAGCAGAAATGAGGATGTCCCGCAACAAACGCTGAAATGCTCATTCAGACAAAATGTCTGAAAGCAATAGGTTAAAAATCAGGAAAGTTTCTTAAAAACAGTAAAAAGCTTTAAAAGGCAGGAACTCCTGATAAAGTTTGTTCACTCATGGTTAGGTCACCTTCCATCTCCTGAAGTAGTGGTTTCCAGAGGACCGCTGCTCCTTTTTTTCCCCTCATTCGTGTGACAGCTGTGACTGCTGAACTGCTGGAGAGAACAGCACAGACACAGGCAGTCAAAACCAGAGGATGCAGACTCCAGGTCTGTGCTTTGTTTTTCAGTCCTTGTTTATTTTGCCATGTGGCTCATAACAGTTCAACCTTCCAGAATTTTAATTTCAGTGTTTCAGCTGGTTGTTAGATGCTTTGCTTCAGCGATTTGTGGCTTTGGCAGTTTCAGAGCTGTAATTGCTAGCAGAGTTAAGTCGCGCACTTTGAGAAGCACAAATACAACAGCTTGCAGGCAAGCTTGCGCACTGCGGGCACCCACGCTGCCTGTGCCTGCAGTGCTACCTAAATACAGACGTGTATACATGTAGATATGGTCCTCTAGCCTGTATGCATGTGTCGGTGGTGCCTGAGCTCATCGGACATGTGTAAAATACATTTTCTGAAATGGTGATGTCTTCTTTCCTAAAAGATTTGTATTTTTTGCAGATGGTGGCAATTGTGCCAGTGAAATCTTTTTTTTTTTTTTTTTCCCTGTCATTTAGTTTCACTGCAGATCAGTTCCAATAACTATTTTGCATGTCTTTCTTCTCTGGGAAAAAGACAAAACTTTCTGATGAAGCTTTTTTCTAAAAGTAACCATCCGTTCCTGGAAACTCTCAGACCAGTTATTTCTGAGACACATTTTCAACAGGGATATAAAGTTATTGTCTTTTGAGAAAGGTTGTTAGAAACAGATGTCTACTAAGTTGTTTTTTTTTTCCCCCATTTATGTAAAAGAGTCAAAATATTTTTGACTGCATTATACCACATGACTCCAAGTAATTACCCATGTTTGATTTTTTCTTCCACGTAGTATCCATTACTGTGGGTCTAAAATGGAGGGGGAAATAACTCTGACTTTTTTAATAGTTTTAATCTGAAAAAAATCCAGATTTTCCAATCCATTCACTTTTAGAGTGCTAAATACTTAAAATACATATATATATATATACATGTTTTACTCTGAAAACAAGTATAGGAATGAAAAATATCACTCTCTTTCATTTATTCCCCGATAAAAGATTCTAAGCTTGCCAATTAATACTTTCTGTAGCACATCTTAAATGCAGAATAATTAATTCCAAGTGTTTGTTGATGAGTGCACACTGTCTGCAGAAATTGGGCGAAGGCCATCTTCTCATTTTGTGCAGACGTCTGATGTAGAGTCTTTCTGTGGCTAAACCTGGTATGATCAAGAAATTGTATTTATTTATTAATTTTTTTCTTTTAATTATTATTCTGAAGTTGGAAGTTGTGATGACGATTTCTTTCAAAAGCAGGTTGTTCTTCCCACTTTGAAAAGCACCTAGATCTGGGTTTTATTAATCGTAATGCAATTGGTCAATAACAACGTGAAATAACTCTACAAGACCTTTGTTTTTATCCCTTGGGAATCATCCAGCTACACAGAGATTTTTAATATGGCAACTGCATCTGTGCTGTGCAGGTGAGAACTAGGTCTGTCCAAACACTAATGACTCACTGCTATCTTTCTTGCTCTCTCAGGTTTTGGAGCTTATGTTCTTAAATTTCTGCTGGAGTACAATGGAAACTATATTAACTGTGGTTACATCAATATCTTAGCATCACAGGATCTTTTTTAGTGTTATTACGTATGCTTTCCTGTCCCTTTCCCAAAAAATCGTGAACTTGCTAATTTGTCAAATTGTAAATATTGGACAGCGTGTAATGTTTTCATGTGGGGCTGAGGAGAAGGAAATCTTCATAAATATTGCTGCTTTTAGTGTTGACTTCTCTCTCTCCTCCTCCTGTTGAAATTACTAGTGTTGTACTTGAGTTGCTGTGATGGTCTCTGGGACCCATCAGGAAAGGAAGTCCTTCATTGTTTTTCAGGCATATG